TGTCTGGATAATGCTGATGCTTGAACAGCAGTAAGAGTGTGGATCTGGGGCTTGATAAAATCAGGTAACTCAACCTTGCGTGGCTCAAACGCTGACAAATAAGTCAGCCTCATCTGATTGAACTCTTGTTCATTCATAGCTAGTCTTTTCGCTTTGTCTAATTTCTTTTTTGGAATTTCCTCAATCTCTTCTTCTGGCGCAGAAATTGGTTTAGAACGCTTTGGTACCACATATTCAACTTCCTTGTATATAGCCGGCTCTCGTTTGGAAACGACTGCAGCATGGGTTCCGATAGATTCTACTTTTGATATGCTTTCTTTCATTGCGATCCTAGCCAGCTCTAAGGAATCATCACGTGGCGTTGGTTTAGTCAATTTCCTCTTAACACGTCTTGCTATTGGAGAACTTTCAAACTGAACTGGAGGCTCACTGATGGCTCTGGAAGATCTGTCCTTTTCTTTGATGGATTTGTAAACAGAATCTAGAGTGTAAATATCCTGTTTCTTTTTTGGCGCTTCATACACTTCTGTGACCTTAGGTTTCTCCAAAGCAGACATGTAATTTGATCGTGACTTATCAAACCATTCGTCATCATAAGAAATCTTGTATGTTCTGAAAGATTTCCTTTCTTCAGTTGGCTCCTCAATGACCATTTTTTCTTTTGGTTCTGGCACAGGCTTCCACTGATGTTGACGTTTCAGAGCTGCAGCCTGTACCTCAGATAGAGTAAATATTTTCTCCTTGGCTAATTGAGGTATTTCTACAGTGGGTCTTTTCAATTTTGTAAGGTATTCAAGTCTATTCTGGTTGAACTCTGCCTCATTCATTGCAATCCTCTTTGCCTTTTCAGGTCTCTCCTTGGGTGCCTCAATCTCTTCTTCTGGCTTATGGACTGGCTTAGCTTTCCTTGGTCTCACATATTCAACTTCCTTGTATATAGCTGGCTCTCGTTTGGAAACGACTGCAGCATGGGTTCCGATAGATTCTACTTTCGATATGCTTTCTTTCATTGCGATCCTAGCCAGCTCTAAAGAATCGTCACGTGGCGATTTTTTCGACAATTTCTTCTTAACACGTCTTGCTATCGGAGAACTTTCAAACTGAGCTGGAGGCTCACTGATGGCTCTGGAAGATCTGTCCTTTTCTTTGATGGATTTGTAAACAGAATCAAGAGTGTTAATATCTTGTTTCTTCTTTGATGCTTCATACACTTCAGTGACCTTAGGTTTCTCCAAAGCAGACATGTAACTTGATCTTGACTTATCAAACCATTCGTCATCATAAGAAATCTTGTATGTTCTGAAAGATTTCCTGGATTCAACTGGTTCTTCATCTTTGGTTTCAACTTTTTCTTTTGTTGGTGGTTTGCGTAGTTGATTTCTCAGAGCAGATGCCTGAATTGAAGCTAGGGTGTGGATTTTCTCATCCTTCTTAAACTCAGGTATTTCTATCTGGCGTTTCTTATCTAGTGCAGACAAGTACTGTGCCCTGCTCTGTTTGAACTCCTCCTCCATATCAGCATTTTTCCTTTCCCTGTCCGGTCGCTCCCTCAGCTTTTGTTCCAGTTCAGCCTCAACTGGAGGCTCACTGATGGCACGAGTGCGTTTCTTTGGCTCGTCGTAAGTGATACCAGCAATTTTGTTTAAAATGCTAACGTGATCATACTTGCTAGTAACAGCATGTGTTCCTATCGATTCAATCCTTGACATACTTTGCTTCATTGCAACTTGTGCCTGCATTAGGGCGTCCTCACTGTAACGAGGCTGTCTTGACTTTTTCGACTTGAGACGTTTTGTCAATGGAGTTTCGTCCACGGGTGACAGTGGTTCACTTGTGGCGCGACTGTCTCTCGACTTCTTTGCCACTGAATCTTTTACAGACTGGAGAGTGATGATTTCTTCCAGCTTTGGTTTCACGATCGGCTCTGCAGTGTAGTCTGGTTTCTCAAGTGCTGTCAGATATCGTGAACGTGACTTTTCAAACCAATCATCGTCGTAGGCAAGTTTGAATGCCTTGCTTGGCTTTCTTGGTTCTATGTCATCTGGAGGCTCACTAGTAGCACGTGAGGGTTCGACAGCCTCGCGAGATTTGGCTACTTTACGGGCTTCCGTGGATGCTTTTACAGATGCCAATGTGTGCATCTTCTCCTTTTTAAGACTCAAATCCACTGAACTTTCTTCACGACGATGTAGTGCCGACATGTACTTCGTTCTCTCTTTTTCAAAGTCCTCCTCCAGTGTGGTGACTTTCTTAGCCTTTTCCATTAACTTTGCTCTCTGTTCTTCAACATACTCATCAACAGGTGGTTCACTGATAGCACGTGAACGCTTCTCTTCCGTATATGATAGGCCCTTGTATTTATTGAATGCGCCAAGATGATCCCACTTTGTGCCTACTACTCCGTGGGTTCCAATAGTCTCAACCTTTGACATTGTTTCTTTCATAGCTGTACTAGCACTTTCAAACTCCAATCCAGCATATGGGGTCTGCTTTGAACGCAGTTTTGTCCGGAGACGCTTGGAAACGACGTGTTTCAGGACCGGCTCAGGAGGCTCACTCGTTGATCTGCTCTGCTTTTTCTTGATGTCAGCCTGTACAGATGCCAAGGTGAAGTATTCTTCTGTCTTCCTTGGTTCATCCTTAACAGGTGCACGTTTCGGTTTTTCTAGTGCAGCAAGATACCTAGACCTTTCTCTGTTGAAATACTCTTCTTCAAAGTTCACTCTCTTTTGTTTTTCGACTACTTCCTGTCTGGCTTTTTCTACTGGCGGTTCACTGATGGCTCTGGAAGGTTTAGTTAGTTCAATACCTCTGCGTTTGACAACAGCTTTCACAGAGTCAACAGTGTGCATTGGTTCAGCATAACGAGTTGTATCCTCTACTTTCTTAGGTGACAGCACAGAAATGTATTCGGAGCGTGCCTGGTCAAACCATTTAGTGTCCTGTGGCGTCCTCCGTGTCCGAGATACAGAATCAACTACTATCTCTTCCACAGGAGGTTCGCTGATGGCCCGACTCTTTTTAGCCTTGGTGGCGGCTCTCACCGACTGCACAGTGTAAAAATCCTCTGACTTGCCTACAATGCAAGATTTGGAATATGAGTGAACTGAATATTTAGTATACTGGTCCTAGAACTCAGAAATGATTTATTTGACTTTACTTCATCTGTATCTGATCGCAGTCGTCTGTGCCGTGGATCAAGAGGATTGGGGTTTCATCCAACATTCTCGGAGAAAATGTAGAGGATCCACATAGGTGGTAATTCCGGACAGTTCTCGTCGAGAGAAGAGGTTGTTCGGTAGGTGCATTCCTTGACAAAGGTATACAGGGAATTTAGGAGAAAGGAGAAATCCAACATAAGGAGAGGAAAATCACATACCATCCCTTGAGTAGGTCTATTAACAGAGGTATCCACCTCCTCGTTTGCTAAACCTCTGAAGAAGGACAAAACTTGTCTTTTGGAGTCAGAATAAGACATGCATGGTTTGAAGGCGTTCCCGTGTACACACGGACAGGTTTACAATGTCTGGGATGTCCAATGAAGGAGGATTTCATCAAAGGTTCCATACACAAAGTATCCAAGGTCCGGTTTACAGATTCATCCAGACCGAGGGTAATTAGAGACAGTGTGTAGGTCATTGTACATTCTGAGAGGATATTCGCATTCCATGATCAAAATATTCGGAGGAAATTTGGTGGATTCACACGGAGAAAGACGTTTGGATGATGTTACGTATACAAACTTGAGACGCATCAGGCTCACAAGTGTTCAAATAACATACAAGGTGATAAAGGCAACAAGTCACACAGGTGGAAAATACTTTTATTTCGTTCTTCAGTAAACTTTGGATTTGGAAGTTTCAGTTTAGGCTCGATTCAATTATTACTACCGTATAGCTGGTTATCTCTGCTGGGGTGATATTTTCACTATTTCCCAGTTGATGAAGGTAATGCAAAAAACATCTGCCAAATAATATGACTATTGAATATTTACGGCCAAATTATAGGGTATGTTGTTTATTAGAATTAACACTGATAGAAACAAATGTCTCATATTATTTGGCAGATGTTGTTTTTTTCATTACTATTTTTGTGTTATATATCTTTTATTTTGATGTTTTATCTGTTCAACTGTTAAAGATTAGTAAAATGATAAAAAAAGCAAAAATAAAACTTAAGTCACAAAATATTAGAATCTGGTTAGAAGAAAATTAATAATTTTCAAAATGAAATAATCTACACAAAATATTAAAATCTGGTTAGCAGAAAATTAACAGTTTTCAAAATGAAATAATCTACAAAAAATATTATAATCTGGTTAGAAGAAAATTAACAGTTTTCAAAATGAAATAATAAACTTGATTTTGTTTTCAATTATAATGAAAAACAAACATGTGACTGAAAATCAGCACGATTATTTAAGAGAAATGCGTGTATTTTGTTGTTGACTGGTGGCACATGAAGGCAATACTAGGCACTTATTAGGCACATGCATAACATGCTGGCACAGAAGACATTTGCTTACGTATTTTTTAAGCTTGACTAGAGCAGATAAACGTAAAAGCTAGCAAATTATACTAATAGGAAATAAGCAGCAATGATTAGAATTAAAATACAAATAGATTAATTTATTATTCATAAATATGCAATATTTCCTTCAGCTTCAAGATTTTGATCAGAGCAAGTTGGAAAAACCTTACGTACCAGATGAGGAAAACAACTATTTGATACATTTTTTTAAGTTCTTCATTAGCTCACAAGATCAAAATCTACAAAACCGTATGTTAAGTAAATGTCCTTGACTAATATCAATTAGACAATTTTTGTTCATTACCCTGAACTCATTGCATGTGATCAATCAGCAAAGGTATTTTTCATCATCTAATACAAGTGCAAAGGAATAATCCTTTCTTAATTTTGATTTTATATCAAATTATCAAAAATTTTGTTCTAACATCAAGGACATTTACCGCTTTCTGTGACTAAAATGTTCGACTTACCGTACATCCTCTTGGGTGTAACAGCAGAGGTGGATTCGAGAGGTGCACTTCTTCCATAGCGGTTTTCAGCGGTGACCCGGAAGTAGTAATCATGACCTTCCATCAGACCCGGGATGTTGACAATGTTTACGTCAGACGCAAGGCGCGTCACATTGACGTAAGATTGCCTACTTCCCTCACGTTTCTCCACAATATAGCCAGTCAAGGGAGAGCCTCCATCTGATTTCGGTGCTCTCCACTCGAGGGACACACTGTCGCGTGTCACAGTCAAGGCTTTGATTGGACCAACGGGTGCTGAAGGTGGACCTGTATTGACCAATCAAAATTGTTCTGTTAATGATACTGTTGTTTAAGTCTTAACGGTAAATCAGCACAACAACATCTTAACGGCAGTGACTAATTAGCAACTAAATTACAGTGCATTTAAGCAATCATTATTTTTGGTAATATATACAACTTTCATATGTTGAAAATTCAAGTACAGTATAACTTATCAGTTATTACTAAAGTTTTTTGATTAAATACAAACCAGAAAGACAGATATTTTGAAATCTTGGTATCAGTATTTTATCATTGAAAACAAACATAATTCACTTACCAAATTTACTCTTGGGTTTAACAGCGCTGTCGGACTCGAGGGGCGGGCTGAGGCCAGCCTCATTCTCGGCCACCACTCGGAAGTAGTACTCCACGTTCTCGATGAGATTTGACACGTCCAGTGAGAGCTGGTCTGGTGGACAACGGGCCACACGTAACCATTTAGGACGACGGGCCTCACTCTTCTCTACCATGTAGGCAGAGATTCGTGATCCTCCATCCCTCTCTGGTGGTCGCCATGCCAATCGTACGTGGTCTTCAGTGATGTCAGTTACGTCCAAAGGTCCACGAGGAACAGATGGTTTTTCTGATAAAAATGAACGGAAAACATCATTTGTGATGTGAAAAAAAAAAATTAAAAAAAAATCACGCGTGTGATTTTGATTTCGTGCAATAGCTTATTTGTGTTTTATTTTTGAAACCAATTTTGGCAGTACAGGTACTGAATTTGGGATTCAGATATTGTCAGATTTGTGGATTTATTCTACAGAAAATTTTCACAGAAAAACTTTTGAGAAAATCAACAAGTATAACAGAAAGTTCCTAGGTAAAAATTACAGAAAAACAAGTTTTTAAAACTATCGTCATCCAAACACATTTGATTCAACTGTACTCTTCATTCGGAATTCCCCGTCTATTGTTCTTTCCACTCACCTATTGTCTTCTTGGGGCTGACAGCAGTGTCAAGCTCTCTTGGTTCACCCAGGCCTACGGCATTCTTGGCACGAACACGGAATCCATAGCTGTAATCGTCAATGAGGTTACGGATGGTCAATGAGTGCACATGACTCTCGACCTCTTTCACACGCTGCCATTGGCCAGATTTACCGTCCCTCTGTTCGATCAGGTAACCAGTGATCATAGCTCCACCATCGTAGCGTGGACGTTTCCAGCGAAGAGTGGCGGAATTGTGGCTCACTGTGGATACATCCAGGTTTTCTGGGGCTCCAGGTGTTTCTATAGAAAAATAAAATGTGGAATTAAATTCTGCATAAAAGTCCTGCAATCCAATTGAAGTTTACTGGAAGACACAACAGTTAACACAAATACTTTACAATTCATCTGTTTACTTCATTAGCCAACCAGACATTGATATTGGTTTCAAATTTTCAAATTTTTATAATTGGCAACTATAGTTTCATGTGAAACTTTCACTGTTTATTAACTATCAAGATTTATATAACTGGCAGTGGAACCTGAATGATATCATAACGAATAAACCCTATTTATCAGACATTAAGCCCAGGGGACCAACACAAAACTTCCAAGTAGGGCAGTGGGCTTATTACAGGACAATGATTAATTACTGACTTTTGAAGTCGGTAAATTTACGAGACAGTTGTCTACCCTTGTTTATGCTTACCTTGAGCACGCTCAGGTGTGATAGCCTTGTCCAGTACAGCAGGTTCGCTAAGTCCTTCAGAGTTCTCAGCAAAGACACGGAAGATGTAACTGCGACCTTCCAGGAGATTCTTGACAGTGTAGCCGAATGTTTTTGGTGACACGCTGTCGACTCTCACCCACTGGGCACGTCCGGGTTCACGTTTCTCCACGCAGTAACGGGTGATGGGGGCACCACCGTCACTGTCAGGGGCAGACCACTCTAGGGTGACACTGTCATCCTTCTTATGTGTGACTTCAAAGCTTTTGGGCTTTGATGGTACTTCTATAACACATTTTCATAAATATAATCAGTTAAGTACATACACTGACTTTTCTGACGACAAATGCAAATCAAAAACTTTTTTAACAATCAAGCAATGAAGAATTCAATTTTAGCTACTTAAGATTTTATATGCATAGAACTATCTACTGCCATAACCAAAACTTCAAAATCAATATTGAATCAATTTTTCTTTTTCAAAATCTTCTTTTTCATCCTAGTTGTGTCCCATACCTCTCAACTCCTACCTCATTAAACACTTTTTTCTCCATGCAATTAGCCTGAATATTAATGACTTTGACCTTTAATAAATTCAATGCAAAATGACCTTGACCATTGATATATATACATATATATATACAAACCCACAGGGCTAATATTTCTGATCTTCCATATAAATGTATACTGACCTACGGCGCTAACAGCCTTAACGGGACTCCTGAGTTCAGCAGGGGCTCCAACTCCGACCTTGTTCTCAGCGTACACACGGAAGTTATAATCATGGCCCTTGATGAGACCACTGACTGTACACTCTGTAACGTCCGCGGGTAGTTTGGTCGCACGGGACCAACCTCCCCATTGACAGTCCAGTTTGTCTACAATGTAACCAGTCAAAGGACTATTGCCATCCTCTGTTGGTGGTTGCCATGACAATGCCATAGATTCCTTTGTTACATCTGAGACTTTGAGTCCTCTTGGAGCTCCAGGAACCTCTGTGTATAAGAAAAAGGTAAAATTGATTTAAAAAAATATTATGAAATGAATTTATCACCACATTCAAAACGATTTTCAAATATAAGATCATTTGAAACATGATGTACACTTGCAAAAACTAAAGAAGAAAGTATTTACCAGCAGGACGTGATGGAGTGATAGTTTGGTCCAGCTCATTTGGTTTTCCGAGGCCAACATCATTTTCAGCACAAATGCGGAACTCATATGCCACACCCTCATCAAGTCCAGTGATGGCCTTCTGGAGGGTGCGGGCAGGAACCTCGGCAACGGTTGCCCAACTTCCAGTGCGCATGTTCAGGGCCTGGATGATGTAGCGTTTGATCGGAGATCCTCCATCGTCAGTTGGTTCTTTCCAGGTCAGAGTTACGGAGTCTTGGGTCACATGACTTGCATGGATCTTTCCAGCAGGTGGGCCTGGTTTTACTGGAGAAGGAAGACAGGGGAAAGAACTCTAAGTTAGTCACAAAAATCAGGGATTTGATTTGATTAACATTGATCATTCCTATGAATATATGTCCCATAACTGGCCCAGCTGTCAATGTAGACTGATCTGATTTGACAGGAGATGGACAAGATCTTAAGAAATGTGAGGTAAACCAATGGAAATTTTTCAAAAATTCTAAAATCAAAAACACTGTTCACATAACTGGTCCAGTTTATTGATGTAGATTGGTCTGATTTCACAGGAGATAAAAAATATCTTAAGAAATGTGTGAGATAAACCAAGCATTTTTTTTCGAAAATACTATCTCGTTATCTTACCTGCTTGTTTTCTGGGAGTGACGGCATCAGACTCGATCGGCTCACTGAGTCCTTCCTCATTTTCTGCCATCACACGGAAGAAGTACTCTGTACCTTCCCGTAGTCCAACAACTGAGATGGAGGTTGAGCGTGTCGAGTCAACCTTTGACCAATTAAATCGCCATCCCTCACGACGTTCAACAACGTAGCGTTTGATTGGCTTGCCTCCATCAGATTGTGGTGGTTTCCAAGTAAGAGTAGCTGAGTTTGTGGTCACGTTGGATATGTTCAGCGGCCCAATAGGGACAGATGGTACACCTGTTGATTACAAAATTTAATATAACTCCATGTAACAGTAACATTACTGTAAGCTAAAATTTTCCCTCTGGTTATAAAATGAAATATGCTAATGTTGAATTCACATACAATACTGATATACATTATTTTTCCAGTAAATTTCGGGGAAAGAATGATCAAACAGTACATTACATTCTCATAATGCTTTTTTCTAAAATAACAACCCGCAAAGCATCCTTGACAGCAAGGAAGAATGAGAACTTACTGCATAGACTCTTGGGTGTGAATTGTTCATCACTCTCCAAAGGCACCGAGCTTCCAATCTTATTTTCAGCCTTCACCCTGACCAAGTAACTAGTCTTTTCATCGAGACCGGCCATCTTGTAGGTGGTGTTGTTTCCACGGACGCGGTCCACAAAGGACCAGCTGGACTTCCAGCTTTCCTTCCTCTCGACAGCGTAGTGTGTGATCGGAGAGCCTCCGTCGAACAGACTGTGGTTCCAGGAAATGTTTGCGGAACCCTTCTGGATGTTGGAAATCTCCAATGGTCCTTCTGGTGCAGATGGGACAGCTGCAAAAATATAAATTCAGTATTTCATTTCCAAAAATCACCCGTAAGATATTTTGAAGACATGAAAGAAGAAAACAATATAGAATACTCATTTTAATGTATGTCCCATATGATCATATACTCAACTATACATCTTTTAACTTGGAAAAGGAAGAAGATAATGAATCATGCAGAATATGTATTTCTTCGAATTATAAAAAATATTTAAATAGATATGCAGTAAAACCTCATTATACTGCCACAATTTGTCCAGAGACATTTTGGCACTATAAAGGGGTTTGACAATAAAATGTGGTTAACACATAAAGGAAATCCTAGCAAAAAGAGAAAAAAGGACCTTGAAATATGTTGGCAGTAAGTGAGGTGGCAAAATAACGAGGGGCGTTATATCGAAGTTTTACTGTACATGTACAACAAAGCAGCATTGTTACTTTTTATGGAAAACGAGACTACAGGATGCTTGTAATGTTATCGTAAATACTCACTGATGGCCTGTTTTGGTGAGGTAGGTTTGGTAACACCCTTCTCTCCAAGTCCGACAGAATTCTCTGCAGCCACACCGAACACATATTTCTCTTTATGGTTGAGCTTGGTAGCATTGTAGTGACCTCTGTAGGGTTCAACGGTCGCCAGTTCTCTCCAGGTGTTACTGTCTTCATCCTTCATGTACACCCGGTACTGTTTGATACGTGACCCACCGTCACTGGCAGGCTGGGTCCAGTCGACGCCTATCTCACCTTCTCCCGCTTTTCCGATGTTGACGTTTGGAACACCAGGTGGTGCTGTAATGAAGTCAAAATTGAATTTTATAAAAAAAAAATCATCAACTGATAAAAACATCTTTCACTGATGTTTATGTTACAGTAAGGTTAGGTAGGAATTTCAATTTCATTTTCATGTTTTTCTAAAAATGGGGAATCAAACTCAAAAATGTGTGATCAACAGACAAAAATAATTAATTAAGACAAAAAGAAAGAAAATGGTACCGGTTCTTCTTCAGATAAATTGAAAACACTGAATTTAGAAAGGTTTATTGCAACAACCTCATAATGACAACAAAATTTGTATTATCCAAAAGATCATGAAGTATTTTGACAAAGTCTAAAATTAATACTTTTAAAGACAAGTCACTTTTTTACATACTATTTCATGAAAGGTAAAAAAAAACGTGATAAATTGAAGTAAAGAAACTGAATGCTGCTTACACAGAATCTTCTTTGGTTTGACACCGTTGGGCCCCTCGAGTGGAGGACTCTCGCCCTCCGCGTTGACGGCACGAATCCTGAAGTAGTATTCATTATCGACGACCAAGTTGGGTACGGTGAACTTATTAACCCCTGGCTCGACTTGTCCCGCCTTGCCCCACATGGAGCGACGGACCTCACGCACCTCAATGGTGTAGTGCGTGATCGGAGTTCCGCCATCTTTCTCTGACGGTCTCCATGCGAGGTCGACCGAGTTTGCGGTGATGTTAGATGTTTTGAGTGGACCTACTGGTGCTGAAGGCTTGTCTGAAAAGTTAGAAGTTAACAGATGACATAACTGTAAATTGTTGGAAAAGGCGGGGGGAAAAAGGAACCGTTGGAGATAGAAAGTTACATTTGAAGAATCTTGTCTGAAAAATTGAAAAATTTGCAATTTTAAATCAAAGAGTACTAAGGTGAATGTAATGAATTATAAATCACAAAAATATTATACTTTATTTCTATGTGTACATTACAGGGTAAAGGAGAGACTTATATACCAAACCAAAAACACAAAAGAATACGGATTACCACCCGAGACACATGTAGCAATGTGATGTATGTAATTTTTTAAGATTATTAAAGTGATATTAGATCATACAGTGAAGTGTTTAAAAACTAACAAGAATGCTGTCAATTCCTAAAAGCTTAGGTTTACAGCAGTAAAAAGGCCAATTCTCAAAAATTAGAAAAAGCATCCCTGAAGTAAAAAAAACACCAACATCCCCAAATATTTTTATACATATTGTTTAATAGCTGTGCTTACCATATGGACTCTTGACCAGTATAGGTTTCGGAGTTTCCAAGGGAAGTCCCTGGCCAACCTGGTTTACTGCGGACACCCTAAAGAAGAACTCTGACCCCTCGGTCAATTTCTTGATTAAGATGTCTGTGTTGGCAGTACTGTCGACGAACGTCCACACTGACCTCATGAGGTCGCGGCGCTCTACGACATAGCTAGTGATCGGAGATCCTCCGTCGTATTCTGGTTCATGCCATTCTAGGCTGATGGTGTCATGTGACAATGCCTTAGCAACAATCGGCTCTGTAGGGGGTCCAGGAACACCTGTACAAAATAATACAACAACCTTGAATACCATGGTTACACAAACAAATTAAACAAATATGTACAAAATGTTTACATGGACATGTACCTAAAAGGATGAGCAAATACATACTTAACCTCCAAATAATATTGGAATTCTTAGAATTAAATTATAAAGTGGTCACAGCCATATTGTCTAACACAACAAGCACCCCAGCCACTACCCTCATTATCAGGATCGATAGCTGTCAATACTTAGATCTAATGGCTGAAAACCAATCAGATATTCAGAGAAGCTTCATCTTAAAAGGCTAGAAACATATGGACTGAAATGCATTGAAGTTTTCACTATTTCAGCAGATATCCAAACTTTGCACTACAGGATGGTAACAAAGTGTCTAGCACCACTGCTGTCTCAACTTACGGAGTTCCTTGGTTGGAGTGATGCGGTCCGACTCCAAATACTTGCCAGCTCCGACACGGTTGATAGCACAGACACGGAACTTGTACGTCTTGCCTGTGGTGAGGCGTTTGACCTGTAGAGTTGTTTTTCTGGCCTCTGTGGTGTCCACTTCTGACCAGGACTTGTCCATTGACCAGCTCTCCACCTTGTAAGATGTGACTTGGGCGCCACCATCACTCTTCGGCGCCAGCCATGACAAGGTCACGCTCGTCTCGTCAAGGTCACTGTGGCGGAGGGGACCCTTAGGCTCGTCCGGCACAGCTGTAAATCGGTACATAAAAACACTTAAATTCTCAAACTAAACAGCATAAGATATAAAATGACAAAACCAAACTTGGAAATTCTATTGAAGATTACTACATAAAAATCTTCATAGCAAACTATTAATACTAACTCAGGTATCTGTATTACATTATATTGAAAAACAGATTTCAAATTATCCTGGAGTTTAGTATAGACCTATGTAAACGACACTGTTTTTTCTGCCTAAATTTTACAACAGCCTGATTCTTCAAGAATTTGGGGGATTTTTTTTTTTTATATAAAAATTGGGAAGATATTTCTCATTTTTATTTCAATTTTGGGAAAATATTGCACTTTTTTGCTATGGGAAGCAGCCTGTTTTTAAACAATAAAACTAGGCACAAATTTTAACACAACACTTACTGGCTTCTGGCGAGAGAACAATTGGCTGAGTGGTCTCCACAAAAGGACCTTGACCTTCGTCATTTGAAGCAGACACACGGAAGAAGTATTCAACATTCATATGGAGATTTAGGATGCTACAGGAAGTAGATTTCTCCGAGCACTCCTTGACCCATGATCCGTATTTCTTCTCACGGCGTTCCACCTGATAGCTTTTGATGGGCAGTCCACCGTTGTCATTAGGTTCGAGCCAAGAAAGTTTGACCGATGACGATTTCATGTCAGTCACATCCAGATTTCTTGGAGCAGACGGTGGTTCTAATAATAATTAAAAAAAAATGCTTAATTAGACAGGGACAAATTTCGGAAACTTGATAGGTACAAAATGACCCTGAAATAGGTGGTATTTTAAATAACAAAGGGTCATATGTCTATAAGCAAAAGGAAATTACTTAATTATGGTCGCTTAATAAAGATAAATGTTTAAAAAAAACTTTTATGCACTTACTGTACTGGCTCTTTGGTTTGATGGAGGAGTCACCCTCGAGTGGTTTGGAGTTACCGGCCTTGTTGACAGCTGTGATCTGGACGTGGTATTCTTTTCCCTCGCGCAGGGTGGTGAGGGTGTGAGTGAGCATGTCACTCTCCACCTCGGCCACGCGCGTCCAGGACATTCTCCAGCCTTCCCGCATTTCCACTATGTATCCAGTGATGGGGGAGCCACCGTCAGATTTACTTGGTTGCCAGGCGATATTGGCGGATGATTTTGTAACATCACTTACTACGATCGGGCCGACAGGTGGTGAAGGTGGACCTGAAATTAGGGGAAAATAGTTCCCAGATAACCAATATATCATTCAACCATGTGACAACAACTGTGAAATAAATATATAAATAAAAAGAGACGCATTAATGATATCCTTCCATTTCAGCCCCATTTAATCTGTAATGTTACTCACCAATCGGTTTGGCGATGGTTGTTCCTTTAGTTGTGGCAGCCTTCTCACTCACTCCAACATCATTTTCTGCCTCGACAGCGAAGAAGTAGGTCTCCTCCACCGTCAGGTTGTTGATGGTTGTGATGGTAGAGAAGCGATCCACAGACGTAAGCTTCCTCCAGCTAGTGGACTTTTCTGTTTTCTGGTAGACGTGGTAACGAGTGATGCGTGACCCTCCGTCACTGACTGGTGCACTCCACTCAAGCGTGGCTGATGATTTTACAGTGTCTGTTACTCTCACATTCTCGGGGCAGGATGGAACATCTGCAAGAAAAATCAGCAAAAGATTAGTTACAAGGACATACTCTCATTGAAAATATCCCACAGCAATGAACCTTCCAGCACAAGCATTACATTACAAAGGCTCCATTAATAATGCTTTCCAGGAAAAAGAGAGAAAATCCAAAATTTCTCTAAAATCTGCATGTAATATTATTCACTCTTAGCAATATCCATAACTGTTTCACAGGAAACCGAAAATTATTTAAATGAGTATCTTGTCAGATTTAGTTTTCCACCTAAATATTTCAATGTTGTAATTATTATCTACAAACATCATATAACTTACTGAGTTTCTTTGACGGCTTAGCAGTTTCTGTAGAGGTCAAAGGTGGGCCTTGACCTACAGAGTTGACTGCGCTAACCCTGAATGCATACTCGTATCCGACCTGCAGGCCGCTGACTATGTGATGGCGTACGTCCTGTTTGACCTCAGCAGACTTTGTCCAGTAGGTACGCTTGACATCGCGATACTCCACAACGTAGGCAGTCAAAGGCTTGCCTCCATCACTGGTTGGTGGTTGCCAAGAAACTTCGGCTGAAGATTCGTTTACACTTCCGATCTTCATTGGACCCTCAGGCGCAGAGGGCAGACCTACGAATAGGGTTCAGACAGATATTTAGCACTTGGAAGTTATTAACGTTAAGCATGTAACTATATGTATTTTACGGGACCACACCAATGAATCACTGATAATTAAACATTCAAGTGACTTTGACTTACCGTATGGGCTCTTGATAAGAATTGGTTCATCCAGAGTGAGAGGTTCACTGACTCCATATTTGTTTTCTGCGAAAACGCGGAACAGATACTCCGAGTTAAGAGAAAGGTTCTGGGCGCAGTATGTCGTGATGTTTGGATTGGTCTTGTCAATGCTCTTCCACATGACACGAGACTTTTCCTTCATCTCGATGACGTAATTCTTGAGTGGTGATCCTCCGTCATTGAGGGGTGGGCGCCATTCGATGGTGGCAGAGTTCAATGAGATGTCGTACACAGCCATTGGGCCCTCAGGTTTGGATGGTGGACCTGCAGTTGGACATCATTAATTAGAAATTCAAGTTCATCATTTTTACAGAAAATCAAACTGGTTTAGATTGACACCAAATTTGAGCTTAATAAGTGTCAGGTGGCATAACACCTTCATATGTTTTGGACATTTCAAGTTACATCTTACCGGCAAGGCGGCGGGTGTGAAGTAGTCTGATAGTTTTAATTTACATCAATATGAGTTAAATCAGTGTCTGTTGGCATACAATCTAAAAACGTTTTTCAGACATTTCAAGCTATTTCTTACCAGATGGTTGGCGGGGCGTGAAGTAGTCCGAGTCGAGCGGCTTGCTGGCTCCGACCTTGTTTACAGCCATTACTCTAAACATATACTGCTGACCATCCTTGAGGTTTTTCACGCGGTAATCCTTGCTATATTTGTCTGAGATGTCCACATCTGTCCATGTAATACCGTCCTCTGACATCTGGATTTGATAAGAAGTGATCGGACTTCCTCCGTCATCCTTAGGTGGATTCCAGTTCAAGGTCACAGAATCTATTTTCTCATCTGAGAATCGGATTGGTCCTACAGGGGCTGCTGGTGAGCCTACATTTTGAAAAATTGAAGAAATTTCAATAAGTTCTTGATTTATATCAATCTGAATATCATAAAATTGCAAAAATAAATGCCAGAGCCCTTTTTTTGCATAAGAGTTTGAATATATTTATATGTTACATATTTCGTGATATTAAACCATTTTAAACAAATAATATCTGTCAAAATAAAAAATAAATCTTAATAGTTTAAAACTAGATGCAAGCATACACATAGTAAAAGTTAGTATGACTCACAACAAATATTAAAGAAATAATTTCAAATAAATCGTAAAAATTATGATGTTGTTAATGACGACAAATTAGAAGCTATAACATGTTGCATTATTAATATAGTAAGAATCTTGGCACTGCCTCGTTGTGTTTCGGACCTGCAGGTTTAAACGGAATAACTGCTTCAGTCGATTCCAGCGGTTCACTAAGCCCCTCGTCATTGATGGCGTAGATACGGAAGAGGTACTCATTGCCCTCAAGGAGATTCTGTACACAGTAGGTGGAGATGTGTGGGCGCACCTCGTCCACATATACCCACACTGTGCGACGTTTGTCCCGACGCTCCAACTTATACCCGCTGAGCGTGAGACCACCCAGATCCCTGGGCGGCGACCAGTTCAGCACAACTGACGTCTGTGTGATTTCCGATACAACCAGATCTCTTGGTGGGGAAGGCTTGGCTGGAAATTTGAAAGCGCTGGCTTGTTAGTATAGTAATTATATCGAAAGCAGCTGTTATTTTTTTCATATAAATTTGAAATAGTACAGCTGCACTCTGCTGTATAGCCCTCAAAGGTGATTTTAGTTATTAATGTCAGTAGCTAGCAATAACACTATCAGATATCAGATCACTGGCAATGATGTTTATTACTTTACAATCAATAAACCGATCAATAAACAGGTTGGTTTCAATTGTATTTTCAGCGGCCAATTTAAAATCGTACAGTGATCTGATATGCATATGAGTACGTAAGCTTCTTAGATAATAATTTTTTGCTCTGAATTCTTAATTTTCAAAAGAATAATATTAACTTTGTTTATTAATATAAATAATATGTCCCCATTCACTTTCATTACCAATATTTCTTTAAAAATGTGTTCTTGATAAATAGCAACAACAGCTAGGAGTGATTGGAAAAACAAAATGGCTGCAAAGTGGCCATCTTGGATTTCGTCCAGGAATATTTATCCAAGAAGCATTAACCCTTATCCCGCCATTCACTCATGTGTATATATACACACCACTGCTGTGTATACAATTTGTGGGATACCTCCCACTGCCAAATAAACAACAGCTATATTAATCAAAATTAATTATCTGATTAAACCAACAATAACTTTTTATCTAATTAGAATCCAAGAAAATATATATAAAGTGTTTTGTTCAGGAAGACTTCTTCTTTTCATATCAAATATAATTTTGGAAATCTCGCTTACATTTCCCGAACTACAGGTTAGAAAAGCTGAGTTTTGTGTGTATTTTGTATGTTAGAAAGATGATTTACATCTAATAAACAGTTTATTTATTACCATCATCTGAAAAACAATTCCAAGTTTCATAATCAAAAGTGCTTAGTATTCTGTGGTAAGAGTCTTCCGTATATTGACGTTAAAAAGAAGAGAGAGAAAAATGAATAGGGTCGCCGTCACCTGGAATATCTTTGTTCAAACCGGGCCGTCCCGTGAATGGGGCATTTATGGAGGTACGCTGTGTTGTCGTCGTCTTCAGGAATGTCCACGTCTTTATATGATTGATCAAAGTCAATATCTAGTACGATTTCTGCGTCACGTAGTAAATCTTCAGGTCCGAATCCCTAAAAGTCATTGTCAAATATATCGCTGATAATCTACAGTCGTTTGATTCGTCTTCTGTCAGTTTGTCGTCCGCCATTTTTCCGCGCTGTAAACAAAACGAATCTATGCTCTCGCGGTGATGGTGGCTTAGTTTATAAATAAACTGTGGGTATCACGTAGTCAGCCAATGAAATTAAGGTATAAACGAATACGTCATCATTTCTAAGTAAAGCTAGCAGTGATTTTCTCACCGCAGTGCCGTACTTAAAACGGCAATCCCGGAATCGACATATGCCGCGATCGGCAGTGGAAGGCGATGTTTTGCGGAACGACATATGCCGCGCTTGGCAGTGGGAGGGTTTATAAAAACGACATATGCTGCACTTGGCGGGATAAGGGTTAAGACCTAAACTGTAGCTAGCATGTCGATGCATAAGTCAATTAAATAAACAATAGTTACTAAAAATATAAACAATAAACATGCATATATTACCATAATGAAATCAAACAGAACTCAGAAAAGTTGAATAAAAAAACAAAAATCTTAACTTTATAAAAAAAAAATCAGAGTACATCAATTCCGTCTTTGCGTATTGCAGAGTTATCTTCTCTTGGGAGCAGGTATTGATTGTTACGTCATTGGTTTGTGTGAGAAAATTACGTCGTTTTCTCAAAAATTGATGACGTTACTCTCACAAACAAGGGACGTAACAATCAATCCCTGCTCCAAAGAGAAGATAACTCTGCAATACACAAAGACGGAATAAGAAAATGAATAATCAAAGTAAATGAAGACAATGTGTACATGTTATCTAATTGATTTCAGATGCTAAATTAGTTATTAGTAATGACTGATGTCACTAGAATAGTAATACATATGTACTAGCCAATCCTGTACTACATCTATTACAGATTTGTAAAATGGGTTTTTCGAAAACACAATGTCTCTAACTGAAATTTGTAACACTTGTAAAAATATATATATATGAAAATCTTGTTCAAATTCAAATGTGTTATAAAAATATTTAACAACAGATTTTTGTATCAACCCATTTCACAGCCAACTATATACTGAACAGCAAACAGGGGATATATCCACATACCAAACTGACTCTTTGGTACAACACTGGCTGATGTTTCCAGCCAATCTGAGCGTCCGATGGCATTTTCTGCGCAGACCTGGAACATGTATTCCTGGTTTTCTTTCAGATGTTCCACGACAAGTACGTGTTCCCGGGGTCCGACCTTTCCACATGGAGACCATGTGGATTTCCAGCTCTCCCGCTTTTCCACGATGTAGCGAGTAATTGGAGAGCCTCCATCGTCAGGGGAGGTGTTCCAAGTCAAGGTGGCTTGGTTTTTACGAATGTCTGTTGCCTCCAATGGAGCACCAGGTGGCGCCGGTCTCTCTGCAGGAGATAAAGACAACATACCATTAGTCACTTTGATTCGTTGAGCAAGTCTTTGAATACAGGTAAACATTTTCATGTTGATTCTTCCGAAAGATCGTACAAACAATTAATAACAATTTTTGTTACATATTATCAAATTAGTCTCAAACTAAAACTGAAAATTAAATTAAAATAAGTTAAATCGTAAAAGTAACAGTAATAATAAATTTAATACAATACACCAATAACATAACATTCATATTAAATCTTTGGTGCTACATGTGTCAGTAAATAATGATCATTGATTTGTTAAGTCATATTAAAGCACAAATCACAGAAGTAACCATGTTTTGACCCGCCTCCTGCCGTTTTCTTCAAACTCATGCTCTACATAGACGAAAAACACTTACACTATACTATCTACATTACATTGATACGTTTACTTAGTTAAAAGGATATAAATTCCTGGGAATAGCATCATTGGAATAATGGTGGAATATATTATTCTTTAACCCTTTCACCATTGTAAACCATAATGGATTCATCCAGATCAATGCATGATAGAGTCTACTAAAGTTACATAGGGGTGAAAGGGTTAAATCTTCCAAATGCCATGTTCTCACCTTTAGGCTTGGCTCCTTTAACCGATTTGTCGGCCTTGCTGACGTCACCGACACCAGCCTCATTCTCAGCAGCGACAGCGAAGTAGTATTCTGTACTGTCCCGTAGTCCACTGATGGTGTTGGTATTCTCATAGGCGTCAACCTTGGCTACCTTTGTCCAATCAGATGGGGATCCTTCGGCCTTCATCACATGATAATGAGTGACCTTTGAACCTCCATCTGAGGATGGTGCGCCCCAGGTGATGGTCGCGAATGTGTCGCCTGACTTAGACAGGCGAACAAACAATGGAGGCCCGGGAGGTGCTGTAAAAAACATTGTATCATTATAACACTTTCTTTTTCATATCTACAGATGATAATGGAATACAAAATAAAACGGCAATGTACATCTGCCCATGTGTTTTACACCAAACATATATATGCTGAGTGCTTAAGAGTGACATCATTGTCACATGACTTGAACTATAGCCTGTATCATAAAAAGCTGGCAAATTCATTTGAATTTTGTAAAATGATTTGTTTCTGCATTAAAAATTAAAAAAAAATTGTATTCAGAATTGTTTCTCTATTGTTTGATACATTACTAGAAAGACATGATTTCATATTAATTGTTTTCAAGTATTTTGTGCAAATGTTCGAGGAGCAGAACTTACAGATCTTCTTCTTTGGTTTGATTGGCTGTATGGCCGTGAGAGGTGCACTTTGACCTTCAGCGTTGACAGCGGTAACCCTGAAGAGGTACTCATTGCCAGGCGTAAGTCCAGTTGCTGTGAAGTCTGTTGTCGGAGGTTTAGTTGTGCCGACCTTGGTCCATGCACTGCGACGTATGTCGCGCATCTCCACAATGTACTCTGTGATTGGTGAACCTCCGTCCTCTCTCGGTGGTTTCCATGACAAGTCACATGAGTTGTCAGTGACGTTTGTAACATTGAGAGGTCCAAGAGGAGATTCTGGTTTGTCTGAAATTATTTTTTTAAATTTAAATTCCTATTCGTAATTTAAAAAAAATATAATATGCACGGCTTACCAAAGTCTTTATAAAAACTATTTTTGTTTGTTCCCCATAAAATTGTTACAACAGAAATCTTGGAGGTCATACTGTAAGTTTGGAAATGTTCCCATTTTTCTTTGTGTTGAGTAACTTAGTACGAAAACATCAACATGTGAATATCTATATACAGATTATATAGGTATAGATACATAAAATATCTGTTAGCAGATTATATAGGTATAGATACATAGAATATCTATTTGCAGATTATATAGGTATAGATACATAGAATATCTATTAGCAGATTATATAGGTATAGATACATAGAATATCTAAATTTTTAGTTGCCAACGCTAAAACTTCTACACCATGATCAGTTTGAAGAGTCACGTACATTGCGAACATTTCCATACACAAGATTATATCCAGTTTTACAGTAGCTTTATATAAATCTTCCCCACTGTACGCTGTGATTGTTATGTAATGCACAATTTAGGTTTCACCCATATTGAAAATCTGTCACAAGACTTTCTAAATTGCAGCTTATTCCCTAAATGAGAAATTGCAACATATTGAGAAACTGGTCATGACAACTAGACCCCTAACTAACCCCTAGTTGTGACCTTTACACCCTACTTACTATATGGGCTCTTAGCCATGTAGGTCTGGTCAGATTCTAAAGCTGGGCCCTTGCCGACTTTGTTGACCGCAGTGATGCGGAATCCGTACTCTGTGCCTTCAATAAGTTTGTCAGCAACACAGGAGAGTTCGTCTGCGGGAACCTGGGCAACCTGTGTCCAGGTGCTGCGACGAGCGTCACGTTTCTCAACGATGTATCCTGTGATTGGCGCTCCGCCATCACTAATCGGTGGGTTCCAAGAGATAGCCAAAGATGTCCTGTCAGGATTGGTCACTTGCATAGCGCGAGGTTTACCTGGCACACCTAGAGGTAAAAATACGTAGCTCCATCAGAACAAACATAGATTAGTTAGTTAGTACTTAGGTAGACTCTTAGTCAAACCCACAATGTCCCTTTCTGCAAAAAAACATTAGCAAATCTACGATCATCTAGAAGTCAAAGACAGTTCACAACACTGAGATTTATGCTGCTACACATGAAAATTGTGAACAAATCTTTTTCTAATTCTTTTTTACAATCTAACTTATTTAGACTCCAAACTCTAAGAGATCACTGCTGTGTATGGGCTGTTGTTTCATTATCACGCATATTTAACATAATATATCTTTTCATGATAATTGTAAAACACTGATTCTTTAACAGAACTTACTCGCTGGTGTTTCAATAGTTGTGGCATCAGATTCCAATGGAGCTCCAGGCCCCACGCTGTTGACAGCGAACACACGGAAGAAATATTTCTTGCCGGTCAGGAGACCCTGTGGTCGTAGATTTGTCGTGTACTTATCGGTCTTGCCAAGCTTGGTCCATTCCTCACCGTCAGTGCTAGCCTCCACGATGTATTCAAGGATAGGCGAGCCGCCATCTTTATCAACTGGGCGCCATGTGAGGTACGCAGATGATACGTCCACATCACGGACTTCCAAGGGCCCTTTGGGGGCACTTGGTACGTCTGCGGGACGTTTGGGTATGGCTGGCTCATGACTCTCCAAGGCTGGACCAACTCCTTCTTCATTCTCAGCAGAAACACGGAATAGATATTCCTTGTTCTCGGTCAAGTTCTGTACACAGTATGTAAGAATGCTTGGCTCGGTGCGTCCGACCTTGGTCCAGGTCATACGTTTAGTTTCGCGCTGTTCCACGATATATCCAGACAGGGGTCTTCCGCCGTCAGACAGCGGGGGGCGCCAGGTGATGGTTACTGACGTCGCTATGATGTCAGAGTATTTCATTGGTCCTTCGGGTGCGTCAGGAACAGCTGAAGTCAAACCGAATCATGATAATTGTGACGCTGTATATATGAGTTTTCTGTAATTTTGTTTAATGTATCAAATTTAATGTATCAAAATCGTTATATATAGATTCTTTGTAAGTGTATAAGATATCACAGAAGAGTATGTTAAAGTCTACTAATACATAACATGAAACACTACTGGGTAATTTATTTTGTAGTTTTGTATTAACAAACTTATTCACAAAAAGATACATTCAAACTTTGAATCATTCACAGATATATGTTATACTATAAAACTCTTGTCATACTGCCACAAAATAGCAAAAGAGATATTTAAAGAACCCATGTAAAAATAAAGAAAGATAAGGGGTAATATGTTGGTAGTAAATGAGAAGGCATTGTATTAAGTGATTTTTCTGCACTTAAATGGTTCTCAACAACTAAGAGAAGTAAACAAAGATATATTTTTTTACGTTTACTGAAAAATCCTGTATTTAGTAAAATCCTGTCTTTCTGGACTTTGATCAAATCACTGTGACTTACTGAATTGACTCTTTGGTGTGACTCTATCCGACTCGAGTGGTTCAGATTTGCCGACAGCATTTTCAGCTATAACTCGGAATATGTACTCCTTCTGTTCTTGCAGATTTTGTACGCAGTATGTGAAGATGTCAGCGTCCGTTTTGCCAACTTCTGCCCAGCGGAACATGCTGGCTTCACGCATCTCCACGATGTAGTTTGTGATTGGTGACCCTCCATCACTGTTGCTAGGCAACCAGGAGAGGGTAACCTCCTTCTTCTTAATGTTACTGAATATGATTGGTCCAACAGGTGATGATGGTCTCTCTGTAAAATAATGAAATTGAATTTTAATTCATAATGAAACCCTGATATAATGTTTTTTATGAACAGAACTGACTTAAGGACAATCTGGCATTTCTTTGTTTATATTTGGTAGATAGCCAACAAAACCGACTCTCCCTATATTCACAATTTAGATGTTTTCTCCCCAGAAAAGAAACGAGTAATGAAAAGCTACAATTTTTTACACCCATAAGTTGAATATTTACCATATCAAAACATTTTTGTTTTTAATTTTTGGATTTTTCTTTTCATCAGTTTATATTTGTATTATAGTGAGCTCTAATACAAGTTATGAGAAATGATGATGTTTTCATTCAATCTGTTTTTCACAGAATATATTGACAACAAACTTGTTGTTTTGGATTGAAATATTTTAGAGAATGCTTAATAACATTACTAAGAATTGTTGTTGTGTATGAGGTACTGCACTACAATACTAACCGGGTTTGGCCCTCGGGACAATGGCCTTGTCAGTCTCCGCTGGCTCTCCAACGCCGATCTTGTTCTCAGCGGCAACAGCGAAGTAGTATTTACTGCCGATGTTGAGTTTCTTGGCGGTGAATTCAGTGGTGTAAGCGGTTGTTGTGCCGATCTCTACCCAGCGGTCAACACTGTCCTCACTCATGCTGATACGGTAACCAGTGACCTTTGACCCACCATCCTCTGTGGGCGGTTTCCAGCTCAAGGTCACGCGGTCAGTTTCAAGGTCGAATGTTTTCAGGTTGATAGGTGCCTTTGGCTTGCCTAAAGTATAACAGAGTTTATTTAAATTAATTTAGTTACAGATTTGATTTGATACTGAAGTACAGCTTTGTATAATAACTGTTGAAGTGGAGATTTCTGAATAAAGTTGAATTAAATGATTGGTAAAAGAAGAGGTACATTTTAATGTCATTACAAAATTTGCCAAAACGTACCGTAAACAAAAGTTAACGCCATATTAAAGTTGTTTGCTACATGTAATACATCCTTAAAGAGAAGCAGATTTCTCTGAAAATTTGACAGTTATTCCGTATGGCTATCACTGCAGTGCTATTTTTGTAGTTAAATCTTGTTGACTCAGAAATTCATAAAATTCATACTGAAAGTAAATTTACAGAATTCCATTTATGACACTATTCTTGAAAAACTTTCGAAACAAATAATTGACTTGTGTCTGTGATAAGTGTGCTCCATTTGACAGTTTGTACTTACTAAGTGGCCTCATCGGCGTGGCACTGTCGGTCGACTCAAGGGCAGGACCTTGACCTTCCATGTTGACAGCCGATACTCTGAAGAAGTAACTGGTTCCCTCGACAACGTTGTCCATGGTGAAGGTCAATTTCTGACCTGTGACCTTTCCAGCTGGCCTCCATGCGGCCCTGTTTTCCTTGACCTCTATGACGTATCCGTTGATTGGCGTGCCGCCGTCGTCAGTTGGTGGTTTCCACGACATTGAGACAGAGTCCTTTGTAATATCAGAGAACACCATTGGTCCAACTGGACGTCCAGGTAGATCTGAAATATGACCATTGTAATGTTATATGATATGACAATTTTATAAACTATTTATGATAAATTTGGTACACTGTGTACAAGCTTTTCAGTTCTGGAAATATCAGAGTTACCACCAACGCAATAGGGACAAAAGATCCAAAACATGACATCGTGATACAGTGGTAAGGAAAATATTTGCTATTTTTAACACAAAAATATGCATTTGTGAACAAAGTAACACGCTATGAAACATAATGCAGCAGTAAGTGCTGTCATGAAACTTCACACACTGAAAAAAAAGGTTTTATAATCAAAATCTAATTATCTCTATATATCAAAATTTAACTTTCTCAGTGTCACTATTGCTATATCTGAACTCACAGGCCATTGTGCCCCCCTTCTCCCTCCCACCACGGACTGACACTCACCATATTGACTCTTGGGTGTGACAGTGTCAGACTGAGTAGGTTCTGATTTTCCAACAGCGTTTTCGGCAATGACTCTGAAGACGATGTCTTTCTTCTCTTTAAGGTTCTGGGCACAGTAACTGGTTACGGTTGGCCGGACTTTGTCAACTTCAGTCCAGCGGAACTGAGTGACTTCCTTCATCTCCACGATGTAGCCAGTCAAGGGGGAGCCACCATCACTCTTACTGTGTTGCCATGACAACGTCACCGTTGTTTTGTCAATGTCGGAGAATTTGATTGGTCCAACTGGTGGAGATGGTCTCTCTGAATACGAATAATAAAGCAGCAGATTTAATTTGTTGCGCTTAACAAGATGTCTGTTTTAATGCAAGTACATATTTTGGAAATATCAAAAGCATATTGAGTGGGGCTATGTTGCTTGGAGGTTTGTACAGCTGACTTAAAAAAAAAATGTTTTGCTTTAATTGTTCATTAAGATTGAAAAGGAATTGCACATCGAAGGTTTTTCATATAAAATTACAATAATAGCAGTGTCTTTTGTAACCCTACACAACCAAATTACTGCTCTTTGATGTGCCAAAATGATAGAATTAAAACCTTTAAAATCTAACTCACCAGTCTTCTTGTGAAGAACAGTTGGGGAGTCCGTCTCCGTTGCCTCTCCGACGCCGACCTTATTCTCTGCAGCCACAGCAAACATGTATTCAACCTCTGTGTCAAGGTTACGGATGACAGCATCTGTATCATATGGTCCGACATTGTCCACTTCTCTCCATTGACCTCCATTTTCACGGAGCTTGACGCGATATCCGGTGAGCCTTGACCCGCCATCAAACTTGGGCTGTTTCCATGTGATGGTCACCTTTTCTTCGTTTACAGTCAGAGTTTTGACGTTTTGCGGTGGTCCTGGTTTCTCCAGTGGTTTCTGTGGTTTCACCCTGTCGAGCGAGTCGAGAGTGGGACCTTGACCTTCAGCATTGACCGCAGACACGCGGAACAGATATTCCTGGTCTAACGATAGTCCTTCGGCCTTGTAGGTAAGTTTGTCTGCATCAATGGTAGCGAGTTTGGACCAGGTGGTTTTCCTGGCATCGCGTGATTCGATGATGTAGCCCGTGATTGGAGTTCCTCCGTCACTCAATGGTGGTTTCCAAGACATTGTCACAGAGTCATGGGTCAGGTTGGTGTAGTCCAATGGTCCGACTGGTTTGCCAGGTTTGTCTGGATTTGGACAAATTCAATAATATCAATGTCATGGATTATGTGTAATATATTTCCATCAATCAGAATCTTTATCAAAAGGATCGAGTATATAAACTTGTAAAACTGAAAATAAAAAATCTGAAGCTAAGAAAGTAGAAAAACTTATTCCAATGTTTCTTTTTCGCTTTCTTATAAAGAACCCTTGATGTCTTTCCCTCAATTTATCAAAATATCCCTTTGTAATGCCAAAATTTGATAACTTGTCAACAACGTAGCACTTGTAACATATATACGAAAAGGATACATACCAAATGGACTCTTAGGCTCCACAATATCTGATGTGAGAGCATCTGATTTTCCGACATCATTCTCAGCAAAGATACGGAACACATATTCCTGTTGTTCCTTCAAGTTCTGTGCGCAGTACGTGAGGATATCTGGAGTAACGGTGGTAACGGGTGTCCAGCGACTTGTCTGGGTGTCACGCATTTCCACATGATACGCAGTCAAGGGGGAGCCACCGTCGTGTCTGCTTGGTTGCCATGACAACGTCACTGTTGTCTTGTTTATGTTGGAGAATTTCACTGGTCCAGCAGGTGGAGATGGTCTCTCTGAAATATTTTATAATAACTTTGTTTTATACAAGGAATATGAAATTTTTTGAAGATATTTTCTTTCACCTGCAGGAAAAATCTGACGTAGACTGTTAATTGATACTGACCCAATTATCTTATTGTAACAGAAATTAGGATTCCAACCCGGGACCTCTGGTACCACTCTTACAGTTTCCTAAATGAGCTAAAGAGAAATTCTCCCTAGCCGATTCAGTAGGAAGTGGCTAGTATTTTACCAGGGTGACATTGTTCAAAAATAAAAAATTGTATTTTTGCTTGTGAGAAAACCTTCTCAAATAATATAATTCAATTAAGAATGGTATCCTCCGTTCACTCCCTCCAATGTTTCTGCAAAGGAATATTCAGATGGAAGTATGATCCACATATAAAACAATATTCATGTCAGTTTCTTCCTTTAAAGAAAATAGCAGTTCAAACAAACTTAAAAATTCTATTTGTATTTAATTCTTTTAGAATTTTTTTCTTTCCCCTGTACTAAAATAATTCTTTTGTAAACTCATTAAAGTAGAATTTGTCTAATACAACATTTTCAGAAAATGAAATTAATTGTATTTCAAAATAAATTTATGTTTACGTTGTGTTGTTAACAAAAAAGTCACAGAAAATAAGATATTTCTCACAGATTCAATCGAAAAATAATTTTCATGGAATAAGAAAACAAAATAAAAATAATTTCAAAATTTGGAAGTAAAAAAATAATGGAAACATGTTTTTTTTTATGAAAATGGTCTCAAAACGAAATAAAATGCACATCATTAGGTAAAATATAAAAATAAACAGAAAAAAATCAATGAAGGGTTAGTATGTTTTATAAATATATATAATCATGGTATCATTTTTTAATTAACGATTGGAATGTAACATTTGTTAAAATTGAATGCAAACCTTTTTGTGTTATATTTTTAATGAAAATTGTTATTGTGTAAGTGAGTAATGCATATCTATTAGAATATAAACTTTATTTATTTTACAACAATTATGAAACAAGTTATTTCAACTTATAATAATCACTCTTGTTGGCCCGGATGTTAGTGTGAGAGGAAACCGGAGTACCCGGACAAAAGCCACATGGTTGGGCAGGTGACCCCAACCTTTTCACGTCTAATCAGGGAATCGAACCCCGGCCACCTTGGTGAAAGGCGCGTGTGCTATCCACTGCACCACCCAACCACCTTACATATCTAAGTTAACATATCAGCCATGCATATCATAGCAGCAGTTACACAAAGCCATTGTATTAATATGCGTAGCAAAACTGTAAAACTTTACTTGTATAAATATATTCAATTGAAATGTTATTATCTTGTATACTAAATGTCAAGGCTCAATTTTTCTTTCTCTTTAAATTCCAGTTGAAAATGTTAGAGTTGATGACTCTTTTTGTAAAGTTTTTAAAAAAATAGAAAAAGAATAATTTGATGATAAGTTAAAAAAAAAATGATTTGCAGAGAATGTGTTGATTCAAGTGTTTTTTGTAAAGTCAGATAGCAGGTTAATTGTTTCAGATGTACTTCGTAAAACCGCTTCAAATATCTCAAATTTAAAAAAAAAAAATCCTTTTTGTGAGATTAATTTTTCATATCAGTTTTTCAATGGGAAAACATACATTTTTTTTCTTTTTGTACTATTGCTTACAATTGATACTGTGTGTTATTTGTTACCATTATTAGTATGAAATATTAATGTTAATAATATTAAGTGTAATATTTGCCCAGTCAGTAACAATTCAATACATGTACAAATGAGGCAGCCAATATATATAGACATGAGACATAAGTACATAAGCATAAAACATGATACTATCAGAAACATATAACATTCAGACATAAATATGTAGCCATTACATGTATGCATGAGACATAAGTACACATACATAAGCATAACACATCATCAGTAGAAATATTAATGTGTATACAGGAGACATAGATGTACATAGCATAACAATGTACAAGTATGCATGGGACATAAGTACACATACATAAGCATAAAACATACAATTATGGACATGTAAGCGTGAAACATATTTACACTATTCGTGTCACCCGACTTCACAGACATCAACCAGGATTAAATAACCTACGTCATATTTATTCTCAGTTTTTGCGAGATTATGAACAAAGATTAATTATGATTAATTGGTGAAGATATTGGTGTTTGGACTAATTTCGTTCGTAATTTCCAGCAAAGAAAAATGTTCCAGTATGATTCTTTCATTCAAGCAAAATGATGTAAAGATTTCATGTACAGTTGCAGACTTCTAAGGTCAAATATAACAGGATTCCCTTTAATTCAGGTGTTGGCATAGTCAGGTTTCGTGTTCCACATAAATTCAAACACGACACAGATTTGAGTCACACTATATGATTGGAACCTCGTTAGTCTTAATATAAAATGATATCGTAGTTATTAATTTCATTTATCAAAATAATTTTGAAACTTCAGCATTCATGAGCTTCAAAATTTTTGACTTTTTAGATGTAAGTGTCTATTCCAAGAATAACAAAAATATTTGACTTCAAGAAAGTTCTCAATTTTCAAAATTAGCTTGAAGAACTTTTACTTAAACATCTCTTCTCAACTTGAAACAGTGGATAGCTCACAGAAAACCTAACTCGAGAACATTAACCGTAAAAGAAATTGTGAGATTTAAGATGAAGCTTCGAATTACTACTTTTAAATATTGTATTAACAGAATATAGATTAGCGAGGTTCCACCATAAACGTGTATGCATGAGACATATTATCTACAGTTAATAGCAAATGAGATTGATGAATTTGTACAGCTATACAGCGAACATGATTGACATATAGCATACAAGACGTAGGACCATCTTACCAAGCTTTTCTACGGCTGAAACAAACATTATGGGGACATCACAGAAGGCAGGTAACACTGCAGTTTACTGGTTAACCCAACTTTCACTTTAAATATTGAACTTTCAACTTAACACCAAATTTTCACTTAAACACCTAACTTTCATTTCTGAAATTCCCAAATTTTCTTTAACATTCAATTTTTACCAAAATATCCAGCCCCCGCTTCATACCCAACTTTCCTTTAAAATAAAGAGAAGAAATTAGTAATAATAAATAAGATTAACATATAGTTATGTCCCTTTGAATGGAAACTATTTTGGTTTTTTTAATCGACTGTTAAGTTTCCCTTAAATCAAAAGCAAAGAGATAGCAACATCAATGTACTGGGTTTATTACCATTCACGAGACATTAAACACAGAAAGCTTTGATTGCCTCGGAAACAGAAATACGAAATATCTACCGTACCTGGTTTTTTCTGTGGACAGACTGCCTTATCCGTCTCAGCAGCCTCGCCAACGCCTGCCTTGTTCTCCGCGGCAACGGAGAAATAGTACCGCTGGCCGGTTGTCAGATTTTTCACAGTGTATTCGCGATCGTATGGGTTGAGAGATGTGATGCTCTTCCACATGTCAGAGCCATCTTCGTTCAATGCAACCTTGAAGCCGGTGATCTTGGAGCCACCGTTGTCTTTGGGCTCTTCCCAAGTCAAGGTCACCTTGTCCTCAGTGATGTCACACGTTTTCAGGTTAAGCGGGACCGATGGTGGTTCTGTTGGTAACAGTACATCAGAGTTACGACATTAGCTCAAGTTAAAAAAAAATCTCTTTTTACAATTTATTTACAAGTATTCAATAACAGAGTCCTGATTATTTCTTGTGTTTTGATAGATTACAAAAGCCTAAAAAAAATCCCACAGTATTCACATCCTTTGGTTTCATTTTGTCTCATTCCACATTTTCTCTGCTCAATCAGAAATTACAATAAAAACTGACATCAGGATATGAACTATGAACTTATGTGTAATACTCACGGATTGGTTCCCTGGCCATGACCTTGTCGGGAGAGTCGAGGGCTGGTCCTTGACCTTCGTCATTGACAGCCGAGACTCTGAAGTAGTATTCATTATCCTCCATGAGGCCAGTGGCAGTGAAGATTGTCTTATCCGCAGTGACGGTGCCGGCCTTATTCCATGTGGAGCGACGTGAATCGCGCACCTCAATGACATAGCTGGTGATTGGCAGGCCTCCGTTAGACAGAGGGGGTTGCCATTCCATTGTAATGGAGTCAGCTAAGATGGTCGAGAACTCCATTGGTCCCACAGGTTTACCTGGTTTGTCTACAAATCAAAAAGGATTTTATTCAAGTATTCTACATACATGCCACTCAATGTCCAAACACACTAAAACAAATGTGTACTTTCCAGTTATCAAATCTAGGGATACACTGATGTCAGGTATTTTAAATATGAAAAAAAACACCAAATCGTTGGAAATTAAATTCACATAACAGTATCTTGCGTTAATTTGCTTTAACTCATCCAACCCTGAAGACACATTTGAACTCTTCCACTTCAAAGGTTGGACTAGTTCATTATGGAATTCAAGGGGTGAATGTGTTCAAAAGTGATAACCCCCCACTCACCGAACAGAGACTTGGGCACTGTGGCGGCATCAGCCTCTAGTTCATCTCCGGAACCGATCTTGTTCTCGGCTGTCACTCGGAACAGATACTCTGTGCCCTCCTTCAGGTCATTGACCTTCAAGTCAAGGACATCAGGTGAGACTGTGTCGACCTTCGTCCAAGATCTGAGGCCCTCGCGTTTCTCCACGATGTAACCGGTGAGAGGTGATCTTCCGTCATTCTTCGGTGGTTTCCAGTGGAGGATGGCTGTTGACTTTTCGACATCAGTCACCGTCAATGGTCCCATAGGTTTTCCAGGTGGTCCTAAGGAAAGACAAATAAATTTAACAGGGTTCATTTATTTCATTTACAAATTGGAGAAACACCACGAAAAATGTGCTTACAAGTTTTGTAACATATCAGATGATTTCAAAACATTTTGGTTTAAAAATATGGTATACATTTTATTGGTCTTTTGTTTGATGAAGGTGACAGTACATGTTATACTTATCATCAAAACAACCCATACAAACATTTCTTTTCGTTTTGCTCTATAGACTCAAAAATTTCCTCACAGCTAGGTCCTAAGTTAATTTCTTAACCTATTTGTGATTAATTTCGATGTTACAGTAGTGACATTTCAGTAGGTTTCTAATTTCTGCCCTATCTGCCCTATCTAATTAATCTTGGACAGTAAATCATTACAACACCTGTCCAAAACAAGCATGTGTCTCACCTGGAGGACGTTTGGGTACAACTGGTTTGTCGGTTTCGCAGGCTTCCCCAACACCAGCCTCGTTTTCAGCAACGATAGAAAAGTAGTACTCTGTATCCTCAGACAGGCGCGGTACCTTGGTGTCATCTTCAATGTTAGACAATGACTCAACCTTGATCCATTTTCCATGAGGGCCCTCCCTCATCTTGAGGATGTAGCCAGTGATAGGCCCGCCTCCGTTGTCAAGGGGAGGCTGCCATTGGAGGATGGCGTAGTCCTCGCCAACCTTCGTATCCCTCAGTGACCTTGGAGGTCCAGGTGGGTCTGCAGGATAGACAGGCAGTCTTAGTAAGTACGATATTATCATTTTATCATTTATGTCTACTATAATTAGAAATATTGCTTAAGACAATTCTTTCCATTTATTCTTGTAGGGAATCATTTATAAAATAACGAATTTCTACAAAAACATTTTTTTAGTACATTTTCATATTGAAACTAAAAATAAAATGCTGAACATTTGTAATGATATAAAGATTTATCATAGTTTTGAGTAAAGTGTCTACAGAGTACTCACTGATTTTACGTTTTGGCAGAGCGGTGTCTATTGCCAGCAGCCAGGGACTTTGACCTTCCTTGTTGACAGCTGTGACCCTAAACACGTACTCCGTGCCAGGCGTGAGGTCGGGAGCCGTGAATTTGGTGGTGACGCCATCTACTTCTCCAGCTCTGGTCCAGGCCATGCGACTGGTTGGACGAGACTCGATGATGTATGCTGTGAGCGGAGTACCACCATCATTTGTCGGGGGCTTCCACTCGAGGTCAGCCGAGCAATCGGTGACATTGGACACAGTCAGTGGACCCATTGGAATACTTGGTTTGTCTGTGAAAAATAATAATCTGAATGACCAACCTTTTACGTTACAACATTGTTTCATCAGTTTAGTGAAAGCTAGTACAGCCTTTTTCATGTGGATACAGATTCAAATTCAACTATTTATTTCAAATATTTGTATTGTAACTTTCCCTTGCTTTCATGTTAAGTCCACTTATAAATGACAAAATAATGAGGGAGTTGTTCCCCCTTACCATATGGATTCTTTGGTATGACAGGTTTGGCGGGACCTGCTGGTTCACCAAGTCCTGCTTTGTTCTCAGCTCGAACGCGCAGGAAGTAGCTAGTTCCTTCGTTTAACTTTGTGACCAGAACATTGAGCGCATTCTTGTCGACACGGTCAACAGTTGTCCACACTGTGCGGGATGCGTCACGTTTCTCAATCAGGTAGCCGGTGAGTGGTGTGCCACCATCATTCTCCGGTGGCTGCCAGCTGAGTGCCACAGAGTCTGTGAGAATTTCTCCTACCTCTACCTCCAAAGGTTTGGAAGGTAGACCTGACAAAGGAAACACACATGTTATAGATACAGGTCAAAACAGGAATCTAAACTTGGTGTTTAACTGTATACAGACTTCTATATATTTTAGACAGAAACTGCAACAAAATGCCTGATAGACTGCCTCTAACATTTCGCAGGCAAGACGATAGAGACTTACAGACCATAGTAAGAACACAGTCCTATTTTATCTACTATTGGACATTGTCAACAATAATCCATCAAGAAATATATTGATGACTAGAGTGATGTCCCCTTACCAATTGGCCTCTTTGGTGTGACAGTGTCAGACTCGACCCATTCTCCTTCTCCGACAGCGTTAACTGCAGAGACATGGAACTGGACAGGCGCGTCTTCCTTCAGATTATTTACGACGTAACGCTCCACTGATTCTGGGACGGTTTCCACTGGTGACCATGTCTTGCCATCGTCCTTGGAAATCAAGATATTATAGCCGGTAATTGGAGATCCGCCGTCACGTTTGGGTTGGCTCCAGTAAAGAGTAACATTGTCACCTTGGATATTGTTGACACGGAAACTGGTAGGTTTTCCTGGCGGAGCTGAAACGTAACAATTTAGGTCAAACTTTTGTTGCTAGTGTTTATAACTTCATATTGTTTGTAACACACCTTTTCATTGGGTTGTTTTAAAGTCTATCAAGTGATAGGCTAACAAAAGAGAACATTTTGACGACGTCATACATAAAATGTATTTTTTTTCCAAACAAGAAGTCAATGAACAGACTTAAATACTCATCTGCAACATATGTCTTTTGGAATTGGAAATTTTATCTTTACCGTTTATTCAGAGTGCACTTCGGTTTACTGTCTATACATTGATAGACCAAATTATTATCTATCCCAATTCTTAAACGATAAAAGGTTTCAGTAATAGCTAGTTCTTATATGCCATATTTTTTCTGTAAAAAGTACTTCTTAATGTGTTAAAAAACACATATATTATTAAAATTGTTTTATATTTTATCAAAAACAAGCTGATCAAAAGTGAAACATATTTTGATGTTTGAATTACAAACACAGTAAGATTCCTCGGCGATTTTACGGATTGATGTTGCAGACTTACTGGCTGGTTTTGCTGGTTTGAATTCATGGTCAGTTGAGAGAGGCTGGCTGCGACCAACACTATTGACCGCTGACACACGGAACAAGTAGGGCTGTCCCTCCAGCAGATTTGGAACTGGACATGAGGTGATATCTGGAGCGACCGTCTTCACGTTACTCCATGTCATACGACGAGTGTCATATTTCTCCACGACATAGCCAGTGAGCGGAGTTCCACCGTTGGATACCGGAGGTTTCCATGTCAATGTACAACCGTTGTCAGTGATGTCGGAGATTTCTAGAGGTCCGACCGGAATTGATGGTTTGTCTGTAAAGGAGTATGACATCATTTTCTTAGGTTCAGTATGAATTTCATCGTAATTACTGTATACTGGTTAAATTTGCCTGCAGTTCAATTTTCGCTTTTTTCGCCCTCGTTAATTTATCATTAAAAGGCATATAAGTAAACAGCACAATATTCATAGTAATGAAATGTGAAGGGGCAGAATTAAAACAGGGCGAATATGGATTTTACCAGCAAAGGGCTAAAGTTTGACTTGACGAAAATTTCCCGTTTTACAGTAGTTTGACAACACACTATGTATTATTTAAATTTAATGGTATTTAAATAGAAGATGTATGCCAAACACATTTTCAAAATATCATCATAGAAAAGTTGTCAGTTTAACATGTATTGAATTGTTTTTTAAAAATACCATCGAAAACCATTACATATCTGTTTTCAAAATCTTTAAACTATATTTTTTCCAAATTTTTCTGTGATGTACTACATGTATCTTACCAATCTTCCCGTCAGTTTCGATTCTTCATCAACAAAATGCTTCACAGTCATGCAGCTCGCTTGTTCAATGCAAACACTCAGATAACCTGTTCTTTTTTAAATCTTCTCATGCTTTGTTAGGTAACATAGACAATTATCATGCAATAATTTCACACGTTTCTTCTCGAAGAAAAGACAAATTACAATCAAACCTCGCCTGACTTCCCCCCTTCCATACCATTCCCTCTTCCTTTCTTTTTTAAAAATTTTAATAATACATTTCCCTCCTCATATCGGCAAACCTTTAACACCAAAATTTGATTGACAAAATGTGGCAGGATCCCAGGTTTCACTGTACTCGTACTTTCTCCTTAACCTTAATGCTTCTGGTCTTACGATTCGCAAGAAACACAATTTATGGTTCTTCAGCTTCAGTTCAATGTGTGGCAATATCAAATCCGTTTCAAACCTGTCAAAAGTGATTCGCAACAAGATGGCCGTATGAAATATTAATAATGATTACCTTTAACAGAATTCTGACATTATTTAAATAAATTCAAATCTTTCAGGAAATTTTCAATATCTTGACAGGATTGAAAGCTAATCTAAAAATGCCTGTTAATTTATCAACAAACAAATTTCAATTTCATAAAAATAACTGAATTTTATTGCCTCTCAGTAGGTTAGTTCTACTATAATTCTTTTATAAAATAAAGCAATAATCAAAATAATTCATGAATATGCAATGACATATTATTCTTGAATATTAATATGAATACATTATACTCCAATATGCAAATAAGGTAATGATTATTCATGTCTAATACACAGAACATGAATATGTAAATAATTTCTTATGCACTAGCGTTTTACTAAACATGCAACAATAAATCTATGCAAACATTTATTCAAATAAATTCTTTTCGAATATAACCTTTTACCCAAAATGTAAAATATCATATCTGTATTGCTAATTAATGAAAGAAAACACCTATATATGTATATAAATATATGCAAAATAAATATCACAATATAAAATGCATTAACTTTTGATGGAATGGGATATGTATTAGATATTCATAAATATTTACACATTTCTACTCATAATAATTATTGTTTTACAACCTACAGTTCTTTCTGATCATGATAGTGATTGATTCACAGCCGATCATAAACATGATTTTGTCCACGGTAACATTAATGAAAATCAAACAAAAATTCTAACATTACATGAAATTCAATTTGCAAGAAATTTATCATTCTTAATGAGCATGAATATGCAAATTTGTTGAGACATTGGCACAGTGTTTATAATATTTCATTAAAAATACACATTTCATTAGGGGCCATTCTACTACAGGTTCAAACCTGTAAACCTAAAATATGTAATTCCTTAAACAAATGAAATAAAGTACAATATAGATTTTTAGAAAAACAATATATATATGTTGCAAAATAAAAGTTAGTATAATCTCATTATAACAAAATTTTGGTACGGTGGTTAGGTATCAAACTTAGATATCACACACAGGGTTAAAATTAATCACATCAACACAATCACATCAACACAATCAACAAGTAACTTGACATGAAAGCACAATTACAAAAAAATAATTTTGTGACAAAAATATTTTTAATAATCTATGATAAATAACTATAGTCAAAATCAGCCATATTAAACTTAGCAGAGGAAACAGGTTTCTGGAATACAGATATACGGTAGGTCAAAATTTGTATATAGAGAAAAAGGTGCAGCTTCAAAGGGAGATAACTCAAAAAAAAGCTTATGGACAGATAATGAATAATATGTATAGAATAAGGATTTTCTTGAGTAAATATTGTTGAGATTCATTATGATTTAAAGCACATTTCTCCTTACTCTATATGACATTGGAAATAAACATCACACCCTTTCAGGAAAAGTTGAAATATAAGTCATCCTTTTCAGAAAAGGTTGAAATATACATGATAGCTCTCAAGATAGGTTGAAATACGCCATCCATTACAAGAATGGTTGAAACATAATCATACACCTAAATAGACACGTTTCCTTTCAGGAAAAGTTAAAGTGTGTTCATATACCCAAACGCTGATCAGAAACATCTAGATTTCAATAATACATTCATAAATCGCTATCTGGAACTTTCATTAAAAACATGCAAAACAGTTTTTTTGGTTTGTGGGTGAATACAGTTAGGGTTTGGGATACCTAGCCCTTTGTTCAAAGTATGGATAGGCAGCAATTTCAAAATAAAATATTTCATTTTTTCATATTTTTTTTTTTTTTTACATATTTGTTCCTTGTATAAAAATTACTATACAAGATATTAGAATATCAGTCTTTATTATGAAGCTAACTATACTTTGAACGTTTGAGCATTTTGAAACAAATCAAGCACTTCACTGCAGGCCAAATTCACGGTCAAACATTGTTAGTGTCGACACTCTTAAATAGGTCAGTCTAGATGGTGATAGATAATCGTAATCACACCTCAGCGACCACAAGTCATGCATCAAAGTCCACCTACCGAACGGACTCTTTGGAATAACCGGTTCGTCCATCTCAAAAGGACTGGACATGCCGACTTCGTTTTCGGCGAAGAATCGGAACAGGTATTCCTTGCCGACCTGGAGATCTGTTGGGGTGATTGTGAGGACAGGTGCATTTGGAATTTCCTGACGTGTCCACGTGGATCTGCCAGCTTCTCTGCGTTCCACAGTGTACGACTTGATATCTGCTCCACCGTTGTCCTTGGGCTTCTGCCAGGTCAGTGTAGCTCTGTCTACGTCCAAATCGGTGACCTGCACTGGGCCCTCTGGTGGACTTGGCACATCTGCAAAGGAAAGATTACTCACTTAATGTTATATGTATTAAAAGAAACTCAAAGACAAAACCATCTTTCTTTTTTCCCTGATAAAAAAAATCACATTCTTTCTCTGTAACATTTTCAAGAAAAATGAGATAAAATTGGTTATAAAAAAATGAATCAAATTTGTATTACAAATTCTTACCCATGATTTCAACGTCGAAGCTAGCCTTCTCTTCACCAGCCTCATTTTCAGCCTTGATGTAGTAGAGGCCGTCATCCTCACGAGTCACTTTCTTGATAACCAGGGTTGAGCCCTTATCTGTCTTGTCAAAGTTGACCCTCATAGATGTCTTAAGGGCAGCATCGTCCTTACCCCAGGTTACTGTGGGTTTGGGAAGACCCGTAATTGTCACTGGTATCTTCAAAGACGAACCCGCATGTAAAGTCAAAAGGTCACGGTATTTGTTGTCATATTCAATGGTTGGTGGAGCTGAAACAGAATAATTGAATTTGAATTTATTTTTTAGACAAAATGTTTTCAAAGGCAGTGAGTGATTGGTACAAGATCTCCTAGGCCATATCTTATCCTAAACATCAAAACTTTGGTTTAACACTCTGTTTTTCATTTGCGACTTTATTTACTGGCGACTCTGTGTTTCGATCCTTTCCTATTTTTCTTGATAATTCCTGTACATGTCCTGACACCGACCTGCGGCTAGTACCTTGCGACTGCTCCCTGTAGGCCTCGAACCAATGACCCAGTGGTGGAGGGCTAGTGATTGTAGACAGTCAGGCACCTTAAACACTTGGCCACCACAGCCCCAATTTTCAATGTACTCTTTTATATACACATTTTACTTACCCTGAATCTCCACTTGACCAGTAGTGGACACAGATCCAAGGTCGTTAGATGCCTCACAGCTGTAGCTGCCCATGTCTTTCTCGGTCACCTGACGAATAGTCAGAGAGGCGGAGAGGTCGACATAGGACATCTCTAACTTCTTACTCTCGGCCAGTTCACGCTTGTCCTTAGACCTGCAAATTGAAAAGGAAATAATAATTATTATTTATCTCTTCAATAAGATTGAATCTGTTACATCAATCAAAATCATTGTAATTTTATTTTAGCAGATATTTTTTACAAGCTTTTTATTGACCAAAATACATTGTAGTAGAATGATTGTTATAATGGTTGAAAAACAAAAATTATACAACAGTCCTTATATGCGACCACCCCATAAAGAGACCACCTGTGCTACAGCACAGATACCGCAACACCTTCCCCAGACCATTTTGTATTCCACTGGGGTTGTTGGAGTTGTGTGGGCAGGAGAAAAACACTTTCTCTGAAAATTCCATGCGTACGGTGACTTACGGGATGGAACCACGACCGACTGCGTGAAAGGCCAGAATGTTGACCACTCGACCAATCTGCCCATAAATATGTACACTCATCTCTCCAAGTCAAAATAAATATTATCATTTACATGCTGGACAACATACCATTTAAGGGTAGGCTCTGGCTTTCCTGAGATTTTGCATTCCAGTGTGGCAGTCTCTCCTACCAGATAGGTAAGATCGGGAAGTCCCTCCAGTACAGACGGTGCCTCTCCAACTGGAATAACAAACATATACAAGAATTATGATATGTCAAACAAATGTAAAGGGTAGAAAGAAATCAAAGTTGTAAATGTGAAAACCTTTCTGTCAATCATCAATCCTTCGAGATAGACATACCGATTGGTTCCTTGATAAGGACTCTGTCTGACGGACGAGAGGCAGGTCCGACACCGGCTCTGTTCTCAGCGTAGACACGGAATTCATACTCAATACCCTCGATAAGGTCTGTTGCCACAAACTTAGTATCGTCCACGCGGATGTTCTGGCTGGCCAGCATCCACTTGATGGAAGTCTCCGGGCGACACTCAACAATGTAGTTAAAGATGGCATCACCACCATCTTTGGGAGGTGGGGTCCACTTCAATGATGCAGTATTCTTTGTGACCTCAAGGACCTCAGGTTTACCGGGTGCCTCAGGTTTGTCTGTGGAGGAACAAATAAAAGTCAGGATTACAAAATATTGGAGGCTGTGGTAAGGTCATTGCAAAAATTATAATAGTATTTGGAATCCAAGATTTAAATTTCTTGGTATCAATGTCTGCAATTCCTTAAAGTTATTGGACCTGCCTTTTTATTTCCTAATTGGCTAAACAGTCCATGATAGAATGCACAATCTACATAATCTCATTAATACAGCGATATTTTCTCATCGTCAGAATTCTGATCAATAAAGTTTCATCGAATCTTAAATAAAACATTTTGTAATTAATTATTCAATTGGTTACTTACCATATGGAAGCTTGGCTTTGATTGGCCCAATTGGTTTACATGGTTTACTGAGGCCTACAACGTTTTCGGCGAACACACGGAATTCATAGTCGCTGTCCTCAATGAGGTCGGTGGCGGTGAAGACAGTGTCTGGCTCGGCTTTCTTGTTACATTTAGACCAGCGTGTAGAGTCCATGTGACGTTTTTCCACCATGTACCCAGTAACCGGGGAACCGCCATCTTTCAATGGAACGTCCCAGGTCAAGGACACAGTTTCGGGAGTGGTGTCAGTTGCCTTCAAGTTTATAGGCGAGTCGGGAACATCTGTAAAAAAAATAATTGATGACTGAAAATTAGTTTCTACAGTAAAACCTCCAAATAAATCCCTTTATTTCGTTTAACACCCTGTTACCCCAAACATATTTCAAGGCCACTTTCTCTATTTTTCATAAGGGTTCCTTCATACATTTCCTTCAATTTAGTGTGAACCTCTTTACATCACCAACATTTCTCTACAGAAATAGTGGCAGTATAACAAGGTTCTGCTGTACATCAATAAAAATGCATTGTAAATTTATTTTTTCATTAAATATACATAAAAATATAATAATGTGGTTTTGAAATTACCATAGCAACACTTCCTTATGGTTATGTCTCTTTAAATGTAAAGAACACCCTATATTAACACCTGCTTAGTTTGAAAAGGCGGAAAATTACCGTATGGATTTTTGGCAATAGTCCCCTCATCCATTGTAGCTGGTTCGCTGTTTCCAACCTCATTCCGAGCAGAGACTTGGAAGAAGTACTCATTGCCCTCGAGGAGTTTCTCCACAGCGAACGTCGTTGTACTACCACTGACATTCTGGCAAGTTGCCCAGATGTTACGTTTAGCGTCACGTTTCTCTACGATGTAGGCGGTGATTTCGGCACCTCCGTCACTGGTTGGTTTCTCCCATTCAATGACGACGGTATCCTTCATCACCTCCACAACATGGAGGTTGTTTGGTTTCGATGGTTTGTCTGGAATAGAGGTCACTCAAGGTTAGGAAAGCATACAGCAAGGTTACGATAAAAGTTTCCTTGAATTTTATAATATGCAAATGCTTTAAAAGAACTTTTTTTTTTTTTTTTAAAAAGATACGTCTTTTGTCTTTGTACACATGGCATTTAAGATATTAATCTTGAAGAAAATGTAATATAATTTCATCGTTTATGAATTTTCTTCAACAAAAAATCAGAAAAGGACGGTTCTGTACCTCTGACATTGATATCGAAGCTGGCCTCTGCCTTTCCAACAACGTTTTCTGCAACAATCTTATAGACGCCGGTATCGTCCTGGGTGGCGTTTTTGATTTTGAGAGTGGAGAATTCCTCTGTGATGTCGATGCTGAGGCGTGGTGTCTTCTCTACGGGCTGGCCGTCCTTCTGCCACACAACCTTGGGTGACGGGATACCACTGATGTTGACCTCTACAGTCAACGTTGACCCCGCCTTCAATACCTGTTTGCTCTTCAACTTGTTGTCATACTCAAGTATTGGATGAGCTGTAAGATTTTATGATAACCATGGTAATTTTGGAATCTCAACATCACTTTTGTGGGTACAGTACTCTTGATATATATACAACACTTGATTTGATTTCACATATATCTTGATATTCTATTGTTAGGTTTTCTTTTCCTCAGAATCTTACAAAAGTTTGTTGAATTATCCATACTCTGGCCAAAATTGTCAAAAATGTTTCAACACCTTTTTTGAAGATATCATTTATTCACAACATCAATGGCTTTGGCAACTTCACACACCGAGGATCCTAACATTAAGTCTTACTTTGAGGATATAATGCACTGATTCTAAGTTTCGGCCTAAATCTAGAATTTGTGGCGTGCTGATTAAAGTTAAAGTTTTATAGTAGAGATTTTGATGATGGTTCAAATTTTAAGACTTGTTTAGAGGGTATTGTGTGTTAGTTTGAAATTAGTTTTAGTTTCGAGGGTTTGATGGGGTGGTCCTGACATTAATCCTTTATTTAGAGGGTATGAAGTGCTGTTGCTCTCTGCTGTCAAGGGTGAATTGTTTTGGTTTAGAGAGTTTGTAATTTGTTAAAAGAGTATGACAAAATGGCCACTCACTGTGCACAGATAACGTTCCTGTTGTCTGGACCTGTCCAATCACATTCGCGGCCTGGCAGCTGTAGACATCGGCATCCTCAGGAGTCGTGTCATGAATCACCAGGGCCGCAATGTCATCCTCGTAACTCATCTCGTACTTCGGGCTCTTCTCCACCAGTACTGTACCCTTGAACCTGTTAAAGAGGTCACAGGGGTCAGAGGTCACTGCTTAAATGGTGCACACAGTAACAAGACAGTGTATCAAGATTTTAATTCTGAAAGTGTCAGCATGTATGCAGGTAAAATTCCAAAATACCGAAGCAGTAGCTTGCAAATACCAACCATTTAATATCGGATTCTGGCTCCCCAAGGTCAAGGTCACATTCCAAGATTGCATCTTTCGGTGCAATAACAACAGTGTCCTGGAGTGGCTCAAGGAGCTTAGGTGCTACACCCACTGAGGAGAAAACAGAAAATAAATCAGGGAGTGAAAAATTGTATCATTGAATACACATATATTTGTTTGAATTTAATGGTGTGTCAACTAATTTCCTATTTCACAACGTATATAGCACGCTTACCGATCGGAGCCTGTACTTTGACGGGCTTGGTGGGTGGTGATGGTGGACCAACTCCGGCTTTGTTTTCTGCGCTGACCCTGAACTCGCAGTTTGATCCTTCCTTAAGGCCGGTTACACTGAATGTAGTTTCAGGGACTGCAGTTTCATTGGCTGTGGTCCAGCGGAAGGCACCTACAAGTCTGTATTCAATGACATAGTTGAAGATGGGAGATCCGCCATCATCCTCGGGTGGTGTCCATTTGAGCGCCACAGATGAGCTGTCGGTGCCCATGATTTCGGGGGTACTTGGTGGTCCTGGCTTGTCTATATAAAAATAACCCGTAAAACATTACAGTGCGGACCCCTTTTTTTTCGAACATGAGTTGACAGATTGATATGAGCAAATAACTGGTTGATATTGGAAGATTTATCACTGAATAATTGAAATAAAATTGAATTAACAGTATTTTTTGCAGGATAATTTCTTTTTAAATTAATAAAAATCCTAATATCTGGGGTTTTAATACTATCTGTACAGATCATTATTCAGAAATAATTACATACAACCAAACCTGTATAAAGAGACCACCATCTGGTAATAACTTGTCTCTTTTAGCAGGAAATTTCTTAAAGATGGTTGAATTTACAATGAAATGATTACAATCAGGAACACTGAAAATGGTCTCTTAACACACGTGGTCACGTAACTATTTCACCCATGAAGACACATTTGAACTCTTCCAATTCAAAGTATGTCACGTGACCAGGTTTGACTGAGTCTATAACAATTTTGTTACAACAGTAGGACTTACCGAAGGGATTCTTGGCTGTGATCGTATCAGACGGTGGACTAGGCTCGCTTTCGCCAGCTTTGTTCACCGCTATCACGCGAAACTGGTATGTGTTATCCTCCACCAGGTCCGTCAGACTGCACCCTGTGTCGGGAATCATGTTGTGTACGGCACGTACCCAGCGGGGACTAAATCCGGACATACGCTCCAGGAAGTAACCAATCACAGGTGAGCCACCATCGTTGGCTGGTGGTTGCCATGATACCATAGCAGACTTCTTTAACACGTCGGATGGTACCGGAGCATTCGGTGCATCTGGTACAGCTATAAACCAATCAAAAGCTGTTTTACATTTTGTTGAAACTCTTTGCATAATTACCAGTTTAAGGTTACAAAACAATGTTTCTATACCTGATTAAGAAGATAAATCTTTGCAGCTTATAGTAAGTCATTTTTATCAACCCTGCCTCGAGCACAGAACTTACTGAATTGGTTCTTGGCCGTCACTGCGTCGGTAAGTTCTGCTGGTTCACTCAATCCAATGTCATTCTTGGCAAATACCCTGAACATGTACTGATTGCCTTCGAGCAGTTTAGTGGAGACAAACTGCGTCTCGGTGGTCGTACCAATCTCTGTCCATGAGCGGCGGTTAGCCTCACGTTTCTCGATGATGTATTCAGTAATTGGACTTCCTCCATCATCCTCTGGGGTTTCCCACACCAACGACACAGACTCTGAAGTCACATCCTTTGGTGCAAAGTTCCTTGGAATGCTTGGTTTATCTGAATTACAGGAATTTTAATAGTAACAGGACAATCTACAAATCTTACTTCCTGTATTTCTTTCCCTCAAGATTAATTCAAACATGTTCATTTCCCTAACAGAACAATAATGAGTTCTCAAAGTTATCATTCAAAAAACAAAAAAATAATCGTGACCTTGACCTAACCTTGTACTTTGAGCTTATTAATGACCTTGACCATACCTAGTAGTTTGAGTTTGATGGTGACCTTGACCATACCTAGTACTTTGAGTTTGATGGTGACCTTGACCTTACCTAGTACTTTGAGTTTGATGGTGACAGCAGCTTTGCCAGACTGGTTCTGTAATGTCAGTGTGTAGTTGCCGGTGTCGGTACGCTTGGCCTTTGCCAAACGAAGTGTGGTCATGTTGTAGATGGACTGGACCTCGATCCTCTTGTCCTCGGGCATGGACTGGTCATTGAATGACCAGGTGACCGATGGCTGTGGATTGGCCTTGAAGGGTATCTCAAATGCAGTGGACTGACCAGCCTTAAGAATAACTTCCTCCTCATAGGCCTTGTCAAGGAACAGCTCAGGAGGCACTGTAATGAAACAAAGGATTTTTTAATATCTTATCTTAAGGTTATATGTTACCTTACACCTTTTGACTGTGATCTGAGTTCGAGTTACCTCCATTGAATATTCTGAAACTAAAAATACTATTTTTAAGTACTCAAGGGAGATAACTCTTAAACACACCAAAGGTAAAATGTGTCAGGCAATGTATAATCTTTACATGTTTCTTACAAAGTGTGGCAATCTTCCGTGATGGAGATACATATTAGTGTAAGGTACCATATATCATTAATGTTTTTGCTTCACATGTAAATAGAATCATAGTATAACTAGACAAATTATTAATTTGAGTACAGAATGTCTGAACTTATTATCCTCATTATCCAACAATATTCAAACTGTAAAATCCAGATAACCTTGAAATAAAAAACGTTATACTTCAGATATGTACCTTCAACAATGAGTTCTGCCTCCGATTTCTTGCCCCTGACGACCACCTTGTAGTCCGCCTCATCCTCGCCATCAATATCATTGATGGTCAGTCGGTGCACAGTGCCTACGACCTCCATCTTGTATTTGTCTGATTCAGCGAGAGGTTTACCGTCACGGAACCATTTGCTGACAAGATCAGCCTTGGTGACCTCTGCCTCAAAGGTCGCAGAAGATGGGATGGTGTGCACTTCCAGGTTCTCCAACTTACGGACATAGTCGACTGCCTCTTCTGTGGGTATAGAAAATTTTAATTTTAAATTTCTTTTATTGACTTTTTTATTTATTTATTTCTTATTTCGTCTTTGCGTATTGCAGAGTTATCTTCTCTTGGGAGCAGGTATTGATTGTTACGTCATTGGTCTGTATGAGAAAATTACGTCATTTTCTCAAAAATTGATGACGTTACTTTCACAAACAAGTAACGTAACAATCAATACCTGCTCCAAGAGAAGATAACTCTGCAAGACGCAAAGACGGAATACGTACATATGTACAAGAAACCTCTTTTATAGAGATGTCTGTTTCCATTTTAAAAAAAAAGTAATTTCTGCTGATAATTGAAACAGAAAAGTTCTAAATAAATCACTTTTAAGATTACAAAGACTTTGCATGAATGATATCCAGGGGTACAGCTTTGATTTGATGGAAAGGTGATGGAAATGATTTTTAACTTTGTTCTGTAATCAAAGATATTTACATCTTAATGAATATAAGAATTGCTAAGGACATAAATATTTAGTAATATTTAATTACAATTTCTCAATAGTATACAATTGTTGTTATAGATATTGATGACAAATGTGTACCTTCTACAAAGATAGCCCCAGTAGAAAGAGTATCCATGACATTAATCGTATATTCTGCCTCATCGTCCAGTTCAGCAGCTGTGATGGTCAGTGTGTGGATGTTGTCATGACTGGTCATCTTGATTCGGTCACTCTTGGTCAATGTTTTGCCCTCACAAATCCAGCTGGACTTAACATTGGGTCGAGACACGATACACTCCAGTACAGCGGTCTTACCCTCCATAACCTCAACATCACCCAGAGGCTTGATAAACTGCAGGGGCTCTTCTACAAATGTCAAGAGTTTTACAGATCAGAATCCATGACAAGTTCATCTGGTTTGCAAGGTAAAACTTTGTACAAAGCTTCAATATCACTGAGAGACTTGATAAACTACGGGAAGAAATTTAACAGACAGGAAATTAATTCATGATTATTTTTTATTTTATTTTAAAGACCAATATTTGAAATCTGTTCTTTTAAAAACACTGAATCCTGTTATATTTTCCTACCTTTGACGGTAAGTGTAGCTGTAGACTTCTTGTCTGCAAACTGGCAAAGGTAGATGGCACTGTCGTCTAATTTGGCATCGGTGATCTTCAATGTGTGAACCATTTCTTTCACAGTCACATGTATATGGTCAGATGGAACTATTTCTACTCCATCCTTGTACCAAGTTGCCTTGACATTGACCTTGTTCAACTCACAGGTGAAGGTCATTTCCTCCTTTTCAAAGATTTCTGTGTCAGTCAGAGGCTTGACAATCTTGAGTGGTATTTCTGTGGGGAGTGAAAAGTAACAACTAAATCAGTAAGTTATTCTTTTCTACAGAGAATGGAATATTTTAGTGAAATGAATTTCTTTTTCTGTAGGGAGTGAAAAGTATCAGCCAAATTTATCAATTATTTCACAAAATGAGGGGTTTATGAAATTCTATTTCATAACTTTGGAAATGATGGTGTAGTCTTAAATCTTGAAAATAAGATACACATTGCAACAGTCAATTTCACAATCAAAATATTAACATATTATTTTAACCAATTATAAAATATTAAACTTAATTGTACTAAATCAATGAGAAACATTCTGTCAGTTAAATTAAAACATCTGAAATATATACATGCTGAAAAAAAGTAACAGAATTATTGTACATCAAAATAACTACAAATGTAACAAAACCCTGTAACAAAAGTAAAAGTGTTAATTTTTGAAATCTAAACAGTCAATATTTCAAAAGACAGCCAACACACTTATTCAGAACAATTATTCTGAATAACTATTGTTAAACCTTTTTTGTTTATTAGATAAATATTTCTTTGTTCATTTGTGAAGAGAAATGACCTTGAAGTCAAATATCTCACACAAATAAAAAAAAATAACGTAAATTAAGATCAAGGCTGAAAATTGATAAGTGTTTACTATGTACAGAAAGGCATGCTGCTAGCTCAAAATTTAGTGGGTTAGCTTATCAACGGAAATGGCGAAATCAATAAATCAAATCAAATATATCTACGATAAATCTTCAAAATATATTCTGTTAATCAACTGTACATTTAAATAGGTTTGAATAAAAACTGTAACCAAACCATCTATTCAAATGAATTATAAATGACAGAAAATATGAAAAACTACTTCTAAAGAGCAAATAGTCAGATTTGAGAATCAACTTAAGGTAAGTAATTTCTAATGTAAAAAGTGTCGCTACAATCCGACTACACTACAAGGGAACAGTGACATTTGCTGTTTATTCAGGGCAACACATTTCAGCCTTTTTCTCTTTGAGAAGTTGAGCTATATTTTCCTAAAATCATGACACATGTCCTTCAATTTTTTTTTCTTGATTTATTAAAATAAATGAAGTGTCAACAATGCATCTATTCATCAAAAGTTTTAAAATGCATCAATGAATTTGTTAATTGTTTTCTTTGAAAATTGACACAATTTTCAATTCTTGAGAAAATGTCACCATATTTTCCCATTTGAAAAGGCGCAGACACCTGTGGAAAGAGGGAAGAAATATCACTATGAGAAAGATACAATTGAGATTTAGCAACTCAAGAATCAACTAGGGGAACAACTACTTTCTCTTCCACTTGTTTGATGGCAATTACTTGAGAAATATTCAATTGGGAGTTTCACAAAATGAACATTTTTGTAAATAAGGATTTTTTTTCCTCAAAATATCGATCCAAATCAGACTGTTGAGAATTTTCCTGGAAGGATTCAATGAAAAAAAAAAAATTCAGGTAAAATGTGTGACAATCTGTTGCAAAAATTGCTGACAAATGTTTAAAAAAATAATGAGCCCACAAGGCAACTGGAAGAGACGGTAATGTAATGGCTACGATCTATGTTACTATGGTTACGACTACAATAAACAGTGCCCTATACAACAGTGTACCTTTCACCGATAACACTGCACTAGTTTCTGTGTCATCAAATGCAAATTTGTATGTGCCCACGTCTTCGCCCGAGACACGCTGGAGGTACAGAAGATGGCAGGTGCCGTCCACCCGAATGTCGTAACCATCACTGATTGTGATTGGTTCGTCATCTTTGTACCATTTGCCCTTGACCTTGGGACGCGACACTTCACACTCAAACACAGCCGTACCTCTCTCAGGCACCTTCAAGTCATGCAGTTCCTGGACCAGCTCAGCCGGTAGTTCTACAGAAAGCAGAGTTATGGCTAAAGTAGGAAACTACAGGACAGGATGTGGAATTCTGGGTCTCAAGTAGGAAAGTGCATTATGGGTATTTATAAATTAAAGTGCATTACATATATTTGAATAAAGCAGGGCCTTTTGGGGTTTATTTGGGGCAGGGAACAATGAGCATTTATATAGGGTATGGCATTATAGGTAATAATTAAATGAGGTGTTGCATAATTGGTACTGTGTGATGGCAAATTGCATCATGGGATATTTGACAGTGTACATCATGGGTAGTCAAATGGTACAAAAAAGGTCTTAAGCCAGGAAACGAAGAAAAACTGCAATACGGTTACAAGTGACACATGGTTCAAGGTCATTCCGGTCAAACAGGGAAGATCATACAGAAAAAGACATTGTACACCATAGGAAAACATTGTCATACGCTCAAAATCACTGAGAATTCCATGTCATGTGCACGTGTGACTGCAAGAAGGACCAGAATACTGCATTTTAAGGATCCCTGTCCCACTGCACTGTGGTGTATCGTATACACAGTAACCTCGCTTTAACTTCTGTTTGTATATAACTGTAGCACAGTTAGGCCAGATCACTTCCCTTGACCAGGTATCTCAATAGGTTAGAGTGATAGTATAACAACCTTAAGTCCAATGTCTGAACCCCGGTCGAGCCCTGCTGAACTTTTCTCCTTAGAATACTCTCGTTGATTACATTTTGATTACTTCATCTTTAATATTTCTCATAAAAGTCCTGTAAGGGATGCTTTTCTTTTCAGAAAAGATTTATCAAAGGTATAGTCATGCTGGAAAAAAAGTTTCCAAAGCATGGTTACCGTTTTTGGCAGTGGTACAAGGATCCTTAAGATGACACGAACACATTAGGATAATGTGACTATAGGCTACAAGTGTACTCTGTGACATTCTTTTACAAAGTCTCATCATTACAGAGTAACATACAACTAAATACCTACCATCAACAAGCAGATTGGCTGTGGATTTCTTGTCGCCGATTTTGATGGAGACTGAACCTTCGTCGCTGATCTTGGCTTCGTGAATGATGAGTTGGTGGGTTTTGCTATAGACGACCAGCTCTATGCGGTCGGAACCCTTAATCTCCTCGCCGTCCAGGTACCATTTCGCAACCTCATCCGACTTACTGACCTCACACTCCATTGTTACGCTGTCGCCCTCGGTTACTTGGGTATCCTTCAGGGGCTTCAGGTACTCGACAGGGGCCTCTGTGAAAGTGTGAAAAATTATTGACTTGTGGACAGGAGCAGAAAACGTCTTGTGAACCTCATATTTTAAACACACTATTTTTTATTTATTTTTTAACATTTTCCTGAAAACCTAGTTTTTGGGTTTGATTACATTTCACAATGTAGGTGATATTTTTCTTTTGTAATTCTTTCTCATTCATCCATGCATCATCTCTATGCTCTACCATTTGTTTGTGTAAGACAACTTCAATACCAACAATTCTTTCTTCGTTACCATGATCACAAAAGCTGAGATTGTTTTAAGAAAATTAAAATATAAAGAAAAAAGAAAAAGATACAAACCTTCGACCAAGACAATGGCACGTGACTTGGCTTCATTGATGACAACACTGTATTCAGCCTCATCGTCAAGTTCAGCCGCCTCAATAATGATACGATGGCATGCATTGTCATGGATCAACTTGAGTCCTTCCCGTGGTTTGATTTCCTTGCCATCCTTCAGCCACGTGGCTGGGTAATCTGGTTTGTTGACTTCACAGTTGAGACAGATGGCATCGTTCTCCATGACAGTGATGTCTGCCAGAGGGATGAGGAACTCCACAGGAAGTTCTGTAACCATGGCAATAATGAATGCAAATTTGAAGAAATTATTCATACAATAATGAAACAATGATTTGCGACACAAAACATTTACAAAAGTAATGACGGTGAGCACAAATTTTGAAAATAAAAGAACAATCAAATGACCTTGACATTTGACCTGACCTTGAATTATGACCTCACCTTCTACAAAGACAGTTGCTGAAGTGGATACGTCTTTGACTTTACACTTGTAGTCGGCCTCGTCGTCGAGAGTGATGTCGGTAATCGTGAGAGAATGTTGGTACTGGTCGACGGAGATAGAGAACTGGTCGTTTGGCACAATCTCCACATCATCTTTACACCACTTAGAGGGCATATTTTTCTTATTCAGCTCACATTCCAGTTTCACGGTGGTTCCTTCAAGAACCTCAAGCTCTTCAAGAGGTTTGCGGAATGCCAGTACGATTTCTACAAATATAACAAAATAAGTATCAATCATATTGTCTCTAGTTGAGTATTTTGCAAGGACATTACAGGGTTTTTTTCGGAATATTTTGGACACTAAGAATATGTTTTTGTGTCAAGAACTTTTACTTATTAACCTTTCATCTAAAGAAGAGTTGTACATTTCAGAGGTAACTGCAGTATAAGACAACATTTTCACATGCGCACCTTCAATTGTGACGGTAGCTTCGGTTGAAACGTCGCCACAGACACATGAGTACTTGGCCTTGTCATCAAGCGTGACGTCGAGGATCTCCAGGCGCTGTGTGCAGCCATCCGTGGTGATGCTGACACGGTCGCTAGGCTTGATTTGTTCTCCATCCTTAAACCACTGAACCTTGTAGTTGGGTTTACTCAGTGCACACTCCAGGACGAGTGTCGCCTCCTCTGTCACGCTCTGGTCTTCCAGAGGCTTGGTGAATTTTGGGGCCTCTTCTGTAATACAGAAATGGAACACTGATGTTTAAAGTAATGTCTGAACAATTCATGATATTTGAGCTGTTGTTAGAAATTAATGAAAATGTTGATAATTCTATAAATGTGATACCTGGGAAAGCACTAACTATTTTCCATATGGATTTTTTTCCCTCAAAGTTAGAATCTTCTTGAAATTTTATGAGAACACCTGAACTTGTTACCAATTACTGATCTTTACGCTTATCAAAATATCATCTTTGGGGAAAAAAATGTATGAGATGATATGAATTTAAAGATATGAAAATACACTATACATGACCTTTGGCCTTGAATTTGACCTTACCTTCGATCTTGAGGGTGGCCTTGGTAGATACGTCACCACACACACAGGTGTAGATGGCGCTGTCTGCCAGTGATACCTCGGCAAAGAGGAGTTGTTGTAGGTAACCATCTGTTACAATTGTGATATTGTCCGTTGGAGAAATCTCTTCTCCGTCTTTGAGCCACTTGACTGGGATGTCAGGTTTGGAAAGTTCACACTCCAAGGTCACGGTCAGTTTCTCCAACGATGTCTGGTCCTCCAGAAGTTTACGGAACTCTAGTGGTAGTTCTGAAAAAAGAGATGGGATGATATGTGAAGTTAAACATCTTCAGTTTTTATACTAAGAGATCACTTTATCTTTACATTTCAAGGACATGTTCCACTACTTTTTCCTTCTTTTTTACATACACCAGTTAAAAGTAATTTTATAATAAAGAATTCATATCAACATAACATTACACTGTATAACGGGAAATTTGTTTACAATTTTTCGCTGTAATGATCAATTCCACTCATTACAGCGAAAAATTAAACCGCAGTGAACATTTCCCAGCATCCAATTTTAGTTTATACGGACAGAAATTTTCTTCAAACAGAAAATATTTGATTCTATCTCAGTTCATTACTATGATAACATGACACTGACCTTCGACAGAGAGGACAGCCTCGGTTGAGGCATCTCCACACATACAGGTGTATTTGCCCATGTCGTCAAGGGTGACGTCATCTATGACCAGCTGCTGTACACAGCCATTTGAAATAATTTCCATGCGTTTCGTGGGCGTAATTTCTTTTCCGTCCTTGAACCACTTGACAGGGATTTCCTCCTTGTTGACTTCACACTCGAGTTTCACGTTATCCTTCTCCGTCGCTTTCACGTCCTCAAGTGGGCGCTTGAATGCTGGCGGAAGTTCTGGCAATGCAACAAAACACATAGGTGAATTATTTGTTATTTGCATCAATACATTTAAAGATTTTGTGCCATCAAGTTGCTTGGATAAGAAGTTTTCAGATATCTCTATGTTAGAACATGGGATGTTTGTATTATGATAAACTACTGATATGATTTATTTTGAACACATAATGACGGCATTTTAAAGAAGAAATATAAGCGAAAATGTCATGGAGAGACACATCTATTTACATTAAAACACTTGATAGCTACTAAATCACCAAATTTTTTGTGAACACCAAATTTAACAAAAAAAATGCAAATTCGCTTCAAATAATTGATTTGTGAAGATCAAATTCATGACAGGAACAACAAAATATAAATGTGACCCCTTTTGTACATACAGTTCAAAAATATTTCACAAGATACATGTATTATAATTTTAGATCAATTCTTGTTGCTGTGAGAAAATATACGTCTGATGAAATCATTTTAAGGATTTGCAGTATCCATTTTATATTATTTTACCCCTATCTTGAGGACAAGACACCTCCATCCCCCCTATCCCCCGCACCACCACCTAACCCCTCACCCACGTTTTATTACCCCTGTTATACCTTTGATAGTGAGTATTGCTGACGATTCCGATTTGTCGTTGAGTTGTATGGTGTATTCGCCCTCGTCCTCTGGAATGACTTCCTGAATCTGTAAGACGTGGCGGTAACGGTTACACAGGATCTTAATGCGGTCACTGGCGGTCAATGGTTTCTTGTTCTTCATCCAGCTCACGTTGACGTCTGGCTTGCTGAGTTCGACCGAGAGTTCCACATCTTCTCCTTCCATACCGGTTAAGTCGGTCAATCTGTGTGTGAACGCAGCCGCAACCTCTGGAGACGACAACAAAAATTGACTGATGAATGCAAGGGGGACAACTCAGTAACAAAAGGGAAACTCAGTAACACAAATATCAACTAAGTAACAAAAGGGGGACAACTCAGTAATGCACATAGGACGATGTAGTAACAAAATGGTGACAACAAAGTAACAAATTAGGGACAACTCAGTAATATAAATTGGACAACTAAGAAGTGCAAGGGAGACAATTTCATAAACAATGGGAGACAACTCATAATGCAAAATGTCCAGAAATGCTTTATCATCAAGGGGAGAAAGATTTCTTTTCAAAGTATTGTTATTTTTTTATGATGGTACTTCTTTGTAACAAACAATGTTTCCATTTATCTATAAAATGTCACCATATGAATCTGTTTAAGGGAATATTGTCCTTGGCCTTGTGACATGGTGACGTACCTTCCACATACAGTACAGAAGATGAAACTTGACTGCCGATCATCACGCTATAGTCGGCCTCATGATCCAGGTAAGCTACCGGGATCGTGAGGATGTGTCGGTTTCCGTCCACGGTGATTTCGTAACCATCGGCAACCGTAATCTGTTCACCATCCTTGAGCCACATTGCAGGAAGTCCAGTCTTGTTGACCGTACATTCCATAGTAATGGGCTCTCCCTCGGAGCAGTCGTACCGGTCTTTGAGAGGGACTGTGATCCTTAGTGGGACTTCTGTAACGCAGGGTAACATTGAAGGGTTATCAAGTTGTAACAGGCACCAAACACAAAGAAGAAGAAGGGATTCAATTCAAGACCAGAACAAAATATCAGAATCAACCATAAATGTCCATGGGGCCTGTGATATTAGGTTCTATGGGTCCTTGTTATAAGTCAGCCAGATATGACATGATCAACTAGATTAATTTTGAAATTTGAATGCACGATACTTGCCTTTTCTAGAACTCAAAAAGGGATCTCTTTGAAAAGATCAATAGTACAGCAGGAAGTTTAAAACTAATGACTTACCTTCTACAAACAATGGGGCAGTGCTAGATTTATCTTCCAGCTTAATTGTGTACTCTGCGCGATCATCCAGGACCGCATCCTTGATGGTCAGTTCGTGAACTTTGCCCTTGGCGGTCATCTCTATGCGGTCAGAGGGTACAAGCTCCTCCCCGTCACAGTACCACTTGGCTGGTGCATCCTCTTTACTGACCTCACACAGGAAGGTCACACTCTCGCCCTCCATACAGGTCTGTTCCTCCAGTGGCACCATGAACTTGATGGGGAGTTCTGCAAAGGGGAATAACTCTCATTTAATAATAACTCAAAGTTAATTCGTTCAAGGTTGCAGAACACTAATTGTATAATTATTATAAAAATCAGAATAACCATAAAGAGCAGATTGTGATCAGGATATGGATTTATGAATTAAGTATAAAAATGCATGTATTTAAACACTTTTAATCAGAAAATTTAAAATTATTTCCATAAAAGTTGAAACAACTTGTGAAATGAAAACATCAATAATAATTTTATAAAGTTTCTGCAAAATTTCATGCTTTGAGCAGAAATAAATTTTGCTGTGAACCCTGAAATACAATTAACATGATACACATGCTTTTTATGTACATATCAATGTTACAAAATGATCAATGGTTACATAAAGTTTCAGAAATCATGCAATTATTTTAGCAGGACAATAGAATTCCGATTACAATAAGAAATCTCAATTATAACGAGAAAACAAATAATCAATATTCTCATTGATAAAATTGCCATATATTCAAACAAAGTAATTTTTAAGGAATTATTAAAGTTGAAGAAATGAATATTCAATGTAGTAACTCTCGAAAGAGGCATGAATATTCATTAATGAAAACCAACCTTTTGCAAGCCCTTCCTCAGATGTCCTCTTTCGACCAATAACCACAAGGTATTTTCCGTAGTCGCTCATGCATAAATTACGAATAGTGAGAACATGCAAGTCCCCATCATCCCGAATGTTGTGTTTCGGAGAGGGAGTTAATAAACATTCATCCTTGAACCATGTGACCTTTATTTGCTCTTTTGAAGTTGAGCACATAAATGTTGCCATATGCTCGTCATGACAACAATAACGCTTCAAGGTCAAGGACAGACTGATTGGAATGTCTGGAAACAAACCATGGAGATCTCATGCAGATTTCAGTGTCAATCGTATCACAGGTGCAATTAAGCCTGACCAGTGTAGATTCATTTAGTGTAGATGTCGCTGTATTCCATATTGGAGCATCTATTTAGCAATAAGTGTAAGTACTTATAAGTGCAAGTACTAGACTTCATGTCTGTTCAGCTTTCACAATAGAGTGTAGCAATCACAAAGTGGGAGGAGCTATCTTTAGGCGGGTGTGTCTATCACAAAGTGGGAGGAGCTATCATTGGGTGGGTGGGTCTATCACAAAGTGGGAGGATCTATCTTTAGGTGGGTGGATCTATCACAAAGTGGGAGGAGCTATCATTATGCAGGTGTGTATATCACAAAGTGGGAGGAGCTATCTTAAGGTGGGTGGGTGGATCTATCACAAAGTTGGAGGAGCTATCCTTTGGTGGGTGGATCTATCATAAAATTGGAGGAGCTATCAATAGGTGAGTGGATCTATCACTGGGACGGAGCTTAATAAAATCAAGACTTTTCTAACTAAGCACCCTTCTTTGTGTAGAACTTGATACTACAATGTTGATTCATGTAGATGCAAATCAATACTACAGGTCAATCAATACGAGAAGAAAAAAGATAAAAGTGTGACTTACAATGATGGGGAAGGCGGATGTGATTAAATTATTACCCTACGTCAGCATCAGCTTGTGATACAGTGAAGTTTTAAACCTTACTGTGAGTGAAACTTACTCATTATTTGCAAGTTGAGGTAGCTGTTGTATAATTTATGTAGAAAGGGCGGAAGTCAGAATTAATTAATTTGGATTTCAATTTTTATTCTCGGGACAACTATTGATTTATGGCAAGACAAACTCTCCCTTTGGCTTATTTATACTGGCACCGGTTTGTTAAATTGCAGTCTTGTTCGACATCTGTGCTCTTTTTGTGGTCTGTGCTAGGTTGTTTGGTGCTTAAGCAGTATTTAACCCATAAAAGTGAATATGTGCTTCTATAAATCTATTTACTAAATGAGGTAAAAGTGGTTTTGATGCTGGGACAAGTGATGAAGCATGGACCACGTTAATGGAAATGTTTATAATGAATGTGATGAACTTTATGGACGGAACTCTCTTTTAAAGAGGACTTATAATGATTAAAGTGTTTCAACTTATGGTAGGAATTCTATTTATAAGGCAACATTTGAGTTTCCCATATAAGGGCATATGATGATCATGGATTTCCATATATGGTCATTTGTACAGATGATGATCATCATCATGGATTTCCATATATGGGCATATGTACAGATGATGATTATGATCATTAATTAGAAATAGAAATCTCTGATTAGTATGGGCAAAAACAAAATGGTGGACTGCACATCAAAATGTGAAATATTATGGGGTGTAATTCACACACTCAGTGATATTATGGCATGGACAAATCTTTTGATATTATGGGATGGAACCATGATAAAATTTTAACTTGAAATAGGATGATTATGAAGGTTGTAAGTTAGGAGACTATTGTTTTGACCTAGTCTAGCAGCAAATCACAATATATATCGGCTATGGTTGCCACGGCTACCGACCTTCAAAACTTATGGACGTTATTTCTTCGCCAATTATCAGACTATACTCTGCATTGTCAGATTCTACCAAATTATGGATAGTCAGTTTGTGAACACAGTCTTCACTGGCTACAGTGTATTTGTCACATGAACCAAGTGGTTGTCCATCTTTCAACCATGTTGGCAAAACATTTTCAGTTGACACTTCACATACAAGAGTAGCTGTCTCAGAACTTTCCGGTTCTGGTTCGAGACTAAGAGGTTTGACAATTTCTGGCATACACTCAACACTTAGAACTTCTTGCATATTTGTATGAAGATGTGGAATTTCAGCCTCAGTTGCAAAGTTAACAGATTGGAGAGTTTCTGTTTCGGGGGTTGAAGACTGAAAACTTTCTTCATCTGGATCAAGATTTAGAGGGTGGGGTATATCCCCCATGGACTCCACACTACAAATTTCTGTCTCATGTATAATGTTCAGAGTCTCAGGGTTTTCAGCCTCTATTTCAAAGTTAATAGATTCAAGATTCACTGTTTCAGGGGTAAACGGTCGGAGAACTTCTACATTTGTTTCGAGGGTATGTGTCTGAAAACTTTCAGCCTCTGTTTCAGATGGAAGAATTTCATCCACTTGGTCAGGCCGAAGACTTTCTTTATCTAAATCAGTGTTTATAGATTGAAGATTATCAGCGTTTGTTTCAGTTATCAAAGACTCAATAATTTGTGCTTCTGTTTTGAAATTTTGTGGTTGGGTAATTTCAGCCTCTGTTTCGAGATTAATAGGTTGGAGAAAATCACTCTTGGTTTCAAGGTTAAGAGGATGGAGAATTTCAGCTGTGGATTTTTCTGCAAATGTAAAAGCAAGAAAAAAAGAGCATTCCATTAGAATAGTACCTCAACCATGTTCAAGGTCCCCACAGGCACACCATTAGCCCACAGATCACAGACGATCACTATTGTTTCACAGTAAAACCTTGTTATACTGCCATTACAATTCTTGTGTAAAACTTTGGCATTAAAAAGGATTTGGCAATATGTCAAGAGTGATATAGGATGGAATTGCGAAGGAAAAGGGGTCCTAAAAATATCTTGGCAGTAAATGAAATCACAGATCAAATGAATGGCATTATAATGAGGCTTTATTGTACTGTTGTAATAGGATGGGAAATTAGACTGGGATTCGAACCTGGAACCTCTGAACTCTAGACGACTGCCCTGCCAACTGAGCTATCCGAGTTACCGCAGTGAGCAACCCCGTCTAGATTTACTTACACTGTTCTTATAAGCTAAGGATAATATAAAGATAGTTACGAAATAACATATTGTTCTGATGAGAAAGTTTGATTAAGCTTTCGACTTCTTACAATGACTGTGATCTGTGAACCTCTTATCACATAACAAAAGAAAAACAAATATATATATTCAATTTGTTGTTCTTCTGTATTTTAAAGTCATGCAAATAAATATGTCATACACAAACCTTCCATATGCATTAAAATAAACCATGCTGCAAAAACTGTTCAATTTGTTAAAATCAAACTTTTAATCAAAATTCAACATAAATATTCTTTCTAAATTTTGCTTTTTAATGATTTAAGACAGATTAAGGCATGTTTTAAAAGACCTTATTAGAATATATCTATATTATTATTTTTAATACATTTTTTTTTTCACATCCAATTTTTTTCTTTAAACAGATGTGCCAATCGGAGTGCAATCGTGCAGGTGACCATATTCCTAATTTACATAAACAGATGTTCGAATTTGAAGTATGAATTTTATTTCAGCTTTCAAAAGTTTTCTACAAAATACCCGACATGCATTATAAGAATTAGACTTATAAACCACTTGTTTTTTTCTTGATTATTTCTCATTTCTATCTATATAACAGAAGTTGAAACTTTGAAGCTGTGGTGTAACCATAGTGTGCTAACCACTCCCATAAGTGTTAAAACCTGCCCTCAAGTATGTGAAAATGTTTTACCGCCAAATCGGCCACATGCAAGCCTTACCGTCTTGCCTTCAGCATGAATGTTTAAGTGCAGCCGTGTCAAAATTAGCATGAATCTGTATATATCTATCAACTGTAAAAACTAGTCATTGTATTGATTGCATCTCTTATTTATAGATGATTGCTACACACATTTCTGTCTAGTTGTGTTCAAATATTTGTCTTTATATGTTTTGTAAGTTTGTTTCAACATTTGCAGAAAGTATCTATACCATAAATACTGACAATATTCTTGGACAGCTCAACATCACCTAAATGTTTGCTTCTTATGATGGTCTAAGGCTACACAAAGTGGGAAGAGAAACATCAAAATGACACTGATCCTATTGTGTTCATAGCCATATGAACCTTATTTCTTCTGTAAGAACAAAAATAAAATTCCATTCTTAAAGGAATGTCTACTTTTTATTCAGACCCATTATGACTATGACTATGCATGCACATATATATTGTATACCGATCCAGAATTGTGTAGAACCTCAAATCGATAGCTTGGCCCCTGCATGCTGTTAGATACATATTGTAATACAATATTAATACTGCAGGCAAGTCCACAGCTGCTCTTTATTTCTATAACTTAATTCCAAATTCCAATCCTGAGTATTTATATATTTCGACTTGAAGAACATCTTTATTTCTGTATCTGCTTTAAAATGTGTTAGGAAATTCAAGTCAAAGACTGATTTTATTTGTTTTATTTTTTAGGTAGCTTCAGATTTTGTGTCCTCTGAGCATTATGCTGTTTCAAGTGATGTAGTTCTGAACTTTGGTGTAATGTTTTGTATGAACTCGTGTATTATATTAAGCTCTGTATGTAGTTGTTATGTGTAATAAACAATATCAATTAAATATCATCATAATTTGTCAACTTTCCCCCCCAATAACCTTTAATTTGTATATCATACTGACATTTACTGAATCCCATCAAATTGAAAGTTTTTCGATATCTAATGATAAATATAATATTTAAAGACATTAAAATTGTTAGAATAATTAAATTTATGCACAAACATGCTACTTTATGATATAAAGTAAACTGTTCTCAAAACAAACATTATGCAAGACAATTTCTTAAAATAATTTTTCACATGGAAACTTTGAACTATAACATTGTTAACTTCAATATTCTAAACCCATGCTTTATCCACTGACAATAACAAAATCAATTTCACTATGTTAAAATCTACATAACCAAGTCGACATACCATCGAGGCAGAGTTTTGCGGAGCTTTTTCTGTCACCGACAGTGACAGTATAATCTGCGATGTCTGATTCATCAGCATCCATGATGACGAGTGTGTGGCTAGTTCCATCATCCTTGAGGATATGTTTATCGCTAGGGGAGATAACTTCGTCGTTTTTGCACCATGTGACATCTACGTCTTCCTTGTTTACGTTACAAGTGAAGTAGCACGCCTGGTGCTCCTCGACATGCTGTTCCTCGAGTGCTAGGACAATCTCAACAGGAGATTCTGTGGGGGGTGGACAGACCCAGGTTAGGAAATTACTTCCAACCCGCCAATACCTTACTTCCTCTGACAGGCCTGCAACCTTGCTCGTAAAATGGAATCTCTTATCTAAATACTGCCTAAGTGGAATCGAAATCCACCGATCTCACAAACTTAATCCCCCATTCAAAAACTATCTACTTAGTGGAATAGACTCTCCAATATCAATATCCTTTAACTTAAAGAATGGGCCCTCCATTATTGGCTATCTTACAGAATGGCTTCTCCCTAAGTTAACTTTTCTCACAAAATCATCGGAAAATATTCAGGAAATGACAGGACTTAATGGGTCAAAGGTCATGCTTATATCAGGACAGCAAATTTCGAAATGAGGCAACATCCTTCAAGTGTCAGGTAGCAGGTTGGCAGAGGAAATAAGGTATGGGAAGGTCAAACACAAGTACATTGGAGAATTGAGGCTTCAATCATGTAAAACGTGTCAATTTATATAAGAAAAGTCTTTGAAAAAAATACTAAAAATCCTCAAAAAGAAACCAAAAAATAAAAACTTGCATGCAAAATGCTTCCAGTGTTTGATGACAAAATAATTAATCTTAAAAGATTTCCAATCTCAACAGCAGCTTCATCATAAAGCTTGACCGGAACTTCGACTGCATCAGTGACCATGACCTCTTCACACCTACCTTTGATTGTTAGCGTAGCCGTGGCACTTGTATCCTCGACCTTGGCGTTGATGACCCCACCGTCGGGCAGGATAGCATCCTTGATGGTGAGTGTGTGTGTTCCCTTGTCTTTTGTGATGATGAAACGTTCATCTTCAACGATTTCTTTGTTGTCAAGGAACCACTTCACGGTGGTGCCCTCTTTGCTGACCTTGCAGACAAATTCTGCGGTCTCGCCCTCCATGATTGTAGCATCACTGGGTGGAGAGGTGAACTGTGGTGGGAGTTCTGTACAAAATGCAAATTATAAATTACTGAATATCTCTCTGATTGTATGAATTTCATTATTCGATTAAGGCAGAAGGAAGCCCCTTTTTTCAATATTCAAGCATATAAAACAGACATTTTCTCCTAATTTCACAAACAAAAACACAATTTTATATTAAAACCATCAGTTTTTCTGCAACCATCTTTGTCATAAATCTTGAAAATTGGTTATTCAAGACATAAGTTTGAAACAAAAGGAAGGATTATGTTTTTTCGTTGCCAACTCTCCCCAATTGCCTTCTTTTGAGCTTATCCTGCAATTTTTGATTGAGGCTCACCTTGTACAAAGAGGGAGGCAGTGGACTTCTTATCCTTGGCCTGGAGAGTCACTTGTCCTTCATCTTCCACATGGATGTCCTCAATAATCAATTTATGTACATGACCTTCGGACACCATTTTGACCTTGGCATCCTCCTTGAGTTCCTCCTCATCCAAAAACCAAGTGACCTTCTCAACGTCACGGTTGATTTCACTGATGAACTCCACAGTTGAGTGCTCCATAGCGGTGATATCTGAGAGAGGTATGCTGAACACTACTGGAGTTTCTGTCGCGAAAAAAAATACACACCATAATTTCAATTTCATAATTCAACTCCATTATTATCTACATTTCACAATAAATTGTAACTCTGATTCACTCAAGGTGATTCATCAAAATATAATTTTATACAAAAGAATTCATTTGACGAAATTGTCTTTTTATCTCAGGAATCAAAAGGAAACATGAACGACCATTTTTTGCAATAACTGTCCAAATTTGTTTCAGAAGAATGATAATTAATTTAATTTGTTCTGCATTTGCTAATATATTCTAGAATTTGAAAAGACAATTCCTTTTAGAACTTTAAACAATCCAAAAGCTATGGTGAAGTACAATATATACAGACACAATGACCTTTGACCTCACCTTTGACCTTGAGTTTGGCAGAGCATGATTGGCCCTTGGTCTTGAAGGTGACCACACCATTATCAGCAAGGTCAAGGTCTTTTAAGTAAAGTTTGTGGACAAAGTCTTGAGAAACGAATTTGATGATGTCACTCTCTACGAGTTCTCTGTCGTCAATGAACCATTGGACCTTGTCGACGTCGCGTTGGACCTCACACACGAAGGTCACGGATTCGTGTTCAAATTCTTCCATGTCCTTCAGGGGTACAATGAATTGTGGTGGAATTTCTGTAAAAAAAATTAACACACATTTATATTTTCCACTTCCAATGAAATAATGACGTATAAGGTGTAATACTTTTTTAACAATTCATTGTTTCAATTCAAAATAGAATTATTTTATGACAATTTAATCAGGAAAACTTTAAATCAAAGTAAACGGAAAAAAATACCTTTTTACAAGAGTTCTTCTAGAACTTTCACATAAGAAGTTTAAAAATCGTTGTATTAAATCATTGCAAAAGTACATATTAAGTTGAAAAATACCGCAAAAAGCTTATCCCAAGTTAAAAGTTTGATAGTATCAGAAACATTTAAATTTGTTAAGATTATTGACAACAAAGGGACACTACTCACCTGTGACGGTCAGTGTACATTCCGTAGAAACGTCGCGGGCTTTGGCACTGATCTTACAGGTGTCGTCTGTGTTTAGGTCAAAGACGGTAAGCATGACCTGACTGTTTTTGCGAGCGACCTTGAACTTCTGATCATCAGGGATTGGCTCGTTGTCGACCAGCCAGACGATGTCAACCTCCTCTACGTTGATTTTCACTGTGAAAGTTGCGTTAGTGTGCTCAACAGCAGATGTGTCCTCAAGTGGTATCAAAAACTGAATCGGCATCTCTGTGAGAAAAGTAAAACATGTCATATTTACAGATAAGTTATACAGGTAGCTATGTGAGACAGGTAAAACATGTCATATTTACAGGTAAGTTATACAGGTAGCTCTGTGAGACAGGTAAAGCATGTCATATTTACAGGTATCTCTGTGAGACAGGTAAAACATGTCATATTTAAAGGTAAGTTATACATGTAGCTCTGTGAGACAGGTAAAACATGTCATATGTACAGGTAAGTTATACAGGTAAAACATGTCCTATTTACAGGTAAGTTATACAGGTAAAACATGTCATATTTACAGGTAAATTATACAGGTAAAATGTTTCATATTTACAGGTGAGTTATACAGGTAGCTCTGTGAGACAGGTAAAATGTACTATCATTTAATATTAATAAGCTCCTAAATTCACATTTAATGAAAACATCAAATTTTATAGAACATAAACTCCACAATATAAGACCTCCGAACATTTTCTAAAGTTCTTTCTTGAAGATTTATAATTAATATCCGCTTACCATTAACAACGAGATTTGCCTCAGTGTTGAGTTTAGCGTAGGAGCAGCTGACATTGCAGGAATCTTTGGGTTTACACTTGGTCACAATCAGAGTGTGTTTTGTCTTTTCAATCTCGATCATGTACTTAGGAGTGGCCTCAATACGCTCCCCATTGACCTTCCAGGTTACCATAACGTTTGGTACGCTGAACTCGCACTCAAATCGAGCCTCATCCATCTCCATTACCTCAAGGTCATGCAAAGGTTGGAGGACCTTCCACTGCAACACATATGTATAACACTAATGAAGGCACCAAAACATCAAGAAATCGTGACAGCTTTATAATGATCACGGATGATATTTTGTGAAAATTACCGTAAAATAGTTGTGACTTTTGAAATCTAACAAATTTTCAATTGAACTTAACACAGACTACAGAACTAATTTGCAACGATTGTGAAAAATTAAATCAAAAATGTCAGAAAGGGACTTGGAATATTTCTAAACCGATAGAACTTGTCACATTTGATTACTATGTATATAGGGTTGTTGACATATGTCCACTGTGATGGTAAGTTACGAAGGGCGAAAAAGGCGAAAATAAAAAGGACCGAAAATTCCCTGGTGAAAAGTACTTCAGCCACCGTAGTTCCCAATAAATGTGCCTGGATTGTCATATGTCATCTGTGCGTACCTGAGCCTTTGGTATGACGAGTTTGACTGGTGGTGCCTCTTCGATCTTCTGGGGTTTGATGAGACGGCTGTACTTGTCCTTGATGGGCTTTCTCGGTGGTGCTGTTACCTCGGCACCTTTCTCTGGGGCAGACGCCTCAAGAGCAACCTTTGACCTCTGGCTCATCTCATGATCCCATTGAGCATCAGTCAACTGTAACCATGGCACCATGTTATAAATATTTGACTATTATATTTTAATTTTTAGAAGATGTTATCATTTCAGATATTATATATGTAATGATATGATTATATTTTATCGTTTCTTAATTAAGTCTAATCAGCATACAGTAAGTCTGCGATATTATCTTACCTCGGGTCGGGAGCTGTCTGTGATATTATCTTACCTCGGGTCGGGAGCTGTCTGTGATATTATCTTACCTCGGGTCGGGAGCTGTCTGTGATATTATCTTACCTCGGGTCGGGAGCTGTCTGTGATATTATCTTACCTCGGGTCGGGAGCTGTCTGTGATATTATCTTACCTCGGGTCGGGAGCTGTCTGTGATATTATCTTACCTCGGGTCGGGAGCTGTCTGTGATATTATCTTACCTCGGGTCGGGAGCTGTCTGTGATATTATCTTACCTCGGGTCGGGAGCTGTCTGTGATATTATCTTACCTCGGGTTGGGAGCTTTCTGCGATATTATCTTACATCGGGTCGGGAGCTGTCTGTGATATTATCTTACCTAGGGTCGGGAGCTGCCTGCGATATTATCTTACCTCAGGTTGGGAGCTGTCTGCGATATTATCTTACATCGGGTCGGAAGCTGTCTGCGATATTATCTTACCTCGGGTCGGGAGCTGCGACGGTAAATTTCATGAGCAGTAGCTTCGTCCAACTCTTTAGTTCCTGGTACAAACTTCTTGGCATCTGGCTGGTCTCCCTCATGTTCAACATGGCGGAGCTGAGGCATCCATTCAACAGCTTCATCACCTTGGTTACGGGTAAATTCCCTACAACAATACATGTTAGTTTATGAGACCCTATATACTAAAACTCATAATACAATGTATCATTAACATTTTATGTATAAATATGAATCAAAAACAGAAAATTCATAAAAACATTTAGCAAATGAAACAGATTTAATTGTTGACCTATGATCTTGAAGGTCACATCCTGACCTATAATCCTGTATGATACTTCGTGACCTATTCATCACCTCCTGACCCTTGACATTTTACCCCTTGACATTTTACAGCCACAAATGGCATTTCATAACACTTCATCCTGTAATTTTCACTGTCCTGTGGTCCCAATTGCTTTTTGATAAATCATGTCAAGCTTGCCAGACTAATAGCGTCCATAGTTCATTTCTGTCCTTGACCTTTGACCTACCTGTGTTTGAGTTGCTCCAGCCAATCATTGACTTCTCCCTCGTCATTGGTAACCATCAGAGTGGCAGGTGCATCACACGTTCCGTGTTCGTTGGTGATCGTGATGAGGTAGGTACCGGCATCCTTCTTCTGTACCGATCTAATCTCGAGGACCTGTTCGTTAGTCTCCTCATCATAAAACACATGGTATTTCTTATCGTCTTTAATCTTCTGCCATTTACCCTTGGACCACGCGATGGTGGGTTTGGGCTCTCCATCGGGGATGCAGCGGAACATCGCCATGGCACCTGTGTAATCAAGTTAATTATTATAATGACATGCTCTCACCATGAATACATGTAAATATGGCAACACTACTTACATAAATGATACATACATCCATTAGGTAACCATAGCAACCAAAGTAATGTAAACGATATTGATACATTTGACATTTTCATCTCAGTAAATGTGGCCATTGTCATGTAAAAATCATGTTTCTACTGCAGAAGCAAAAATTTTCATTAACTCATTCAACCCTGAAGACACATCTGAACTCTTCCAATACAAAGGTTGGAATTGTTCATTATGAAATTTCAGGGGTGAATGAGTTATAGAAATTAGAACATTGTATTCAACACACCTTCAAGTATGGTACATTTCAGTGGAATTTCTTTGAAGGAAGGTGCGCGGCCGCGAACGGTGAGTTCGGCAGTACATAGCTCCTCGCCACCAGAGTTGACCGCGACGGCCTTGATGAGACCTTGGAGCTCAGGTAATGCTTTGTCTATCACCAGTGAGTGTGTACGGTCACGCTTGTTGAACACGAAGTGGACGCCCTCACCCGCCTCTATCTCTTGGTCATTGATGAACCTGTTGGGTTGGACAAAAGATAGAGTTATCTCCCTTTCTAATATCTGATTAAAATTTTAAAAAATCTGGTTAACTCCCTTGTTGGGCAAAATTGTATAGTTAGTTGTCAGCTAGGTTTCTTGTCTTTGAGTTTCTTGCACAAGAAAAAGAAAGGATTATTTTTTCTGCAAGAATTGTTCAACACTATCAACAACAACTTATTTTTTTTATTTCTATACATGTACATACAAATTATCTGCAATGGTTTAGCTTTGCAGGCTGTAACATACCATTTGACATCGGGAAGAGGAAGGCCTTCCACTTTACAATCGAAGCTCACAGCGCCGTCTTCTGGTACAAGGGTGTCTGACATTTTCCTGGCAAATGATGGTTTTCTACCAGCTGAAAAATGAAAAAAACAAACATCCATTTTTGATTGACATAAATACACTGTATTCTGTAATAGCTTGGAAGTATAGGTTTTGGTAGATAGCTATGACGATAGTAACATTTGGTAGTACATGTAGAACTGTAATTTTTGAGTAGATAAAAATAAGATACCACCGTGCATGTCGAGAAAATATCACCAAAAAAAATATTTGCTACGCATTGTAAAATTGTGAATGGTAAACTGTGCGCTTAACTACTTTTATAACTTGACATATTTTTGGCTTTTTGGCGATTTTGTATGACCTTGAACACTTACGCATGACTTTGAGGCGACAGCTACAGGAAACCTGTCCAGCTTGGTTGCTGGCACGTATTGTGTAGAGGTCTGAGTCTGAAACTTTCGTGGACGGGATCGTTAGACGATACGTCTGGTCAACAACCTCCAGCTTGATGTCTTCGCTCTCAACTAATTCTGTCTTATTCTTCATCCTGTACAGGGTGAAGATTAATAATGAAATTTTATAAAGGAATAATGACTTCATTGGTCAATTCTATTTATTTTAAATCTTATAATTCCGAATAAAAAAAATTCTCGATTGTATATATAAGATCAACATATTTCAAATGATTTCATCTAATAAATGTTAATCACAAGAATTAATATCTTTTTAAAATAACATTCAATAACACCAAAACAAGTACATATGTTCAACCCCCCCCCAAAAAAAATAAATAATATTATACTGAGTTTCAAATGCATTTTGGTGATTGAAATAGCAAAACCAAACAAGATATCTTGAATCCCACTAGGCTCAATCAAAGAAACAATAAGGTAAACCATTTTTAATTAAAGCCTGTTGTCCTAGTTGCCAAATTACTGGAACTGGTCATGTTTACTAACCAGACAGCATCTGGCTTGGGTTTGCCGGAGATGACGCATTCCAATACAACAGTGCTCTTCTCAACGACCTCCAAATTCTCCAGCTTCTTTATCAGTTTGGGTCCCTCTTTCTTCTCTGTAGGACAGATAGACAGTACATTGTATGTATTTATTCTGAAATTTGATAATCAATCTTTTGTGGTAGTTGTTACTATTTCATCCTGGATTCAAGATATAGTCAACTCGTATCATTACAAACTTGGAGAAAATATGAATACAGATCTCTAAGAATATAAGCATAAACCGGCATAATTTATTTTGTATAAAAAATGTATTCCTACAAAATGAGCATCACTTCACAGCTTTTAATTGTTATGACAAAAAGTTCAAAACTTCTATGACTAATTGATGTTTCAATTACAAAAAAGTGTTATTTTGAATAAAGTTTTTTTTTTTTTTTTTTACAAACCTTCGACGGTTAGTCTACCCTCACAGGAGATCTCTCCTGCTTTGTTGGAGGCGACGGCCTTGATTTGACCTTCGTCTTCAAGGACCGTATTGTCAATAGTGAGAATGTGGGTGACATCAACGTAACCCTTACGTTCGTCCATGTGGAACCGAATTCCGGTCTCGATAGGTTTGTCATTGATAAACCTTTAAATAACAAAAATGTCGAAACATGTACAATTTAAACTTCTCAATTCTCATGGTTCTATTATCCGAAACTTCTGAACACTAATTCATGAATAGATACAGTCTTGAAATCAGAAAAAAAAATATATTCTTATTTTTAAAAAAGTTTTTTAAATTCATATCTTCTTAAAAATGAAGGTATACAGTTGAATCTGAATTTAAATGAATTCTATAAGCTTCTTCGAGATGAAACATCCCTTCTCATTGGTCAATACTTACCATGCGACTTCTGGTTGTGGGATACCTTTGACTGCACATTCAAATCGGACGGGACGACTGGCCTTAATGTCCCTAGAATTCACCTTACGGGTAAACTCTGGGGGCATAGACTTGCCTGAAGGTTAAAAAACAACACAAAATATTGAAGATATTCATTTGCGAAACAATATCTATTTGTTTCAAGTATGATAGGACATTTTCCTACAACCTATACATCACGATTTTAGTACGAGACAATACCATTTACTGGGAAAGTTTTGCCCAGTATAACATAGTCTTCCTTTACTGGTAAAATCTGTATTTGCCCAGTTTAAATTTTCCCCGTAATGTAATTACATTTGTACTATATAAGGTAAATTGTGTATAAATGTTCACTGTTTTGATAAAATCGCCCTTATTGCGGAGGACGAAAATATTGCAGCGGATGGAAAAACAGTATCTTATGGTAATATATTTCTACAGGACGGATCTGATCAGGAAAGGTTTTCACAATTGTTTTTTAATGGAAACATGAACTCCATCTATCCAGAAACTAAACTCTATGTAAAAAAAATCAGAAGCTCATTTTTTTTCTTCAATTTTTAATTTGTTCTTACATGATTTGTCAAAAGTCAGAAACCAACTATGAAATAACACTGACTGTTACAACAAAACAAGAAATCTTATACAAACCTTCCACGTTGACCTTAGCGATGTGTTCCACTGTGCCCGCCGAGTTTGTGGCGACACATTTGAATTCGCCCTCATGATCAACAGTTGTTTTCTTGATCAAGAGGGTGGTTGTTTCGTCATCATAGGACATCTTGACCGCTGGTGTGTTGGTCAGTACTTTGCCGTTGTTGAACCAGGCAACCTCTGGGCGAGGTAGTCCAGTGACCTTGGCAATCAAGGTCAAAGGTCTCTCTTCCATCACGGTCTGAAAATAACACCAAAATGTTTTAAAATTAGTTTTAAAAATGCGAAAATGTATCAGGAATCCTTAAAAGAATGTTTTTTAATGTTTCAATTTGTATATTGGGATGAAGTAGTTTTTTTCATGCCACCAAAATGTTTTTCATAAACATGACGGAAAAATGTTTTTCAAAATACACAGAAATTCAGGTAAATGATTTCCATGACATGTTAAATCCCTATCCATATTTCTATTCAAAATTTCATTTTTTTTAAGATATATTTTTAATAAAATGATAAAAATATGTTCCTAGTTTATACCCTAACAATGGCAATGAAGGAAATTGAGACAAATATCCTGTATTTGGATTATGATTAAATCTCCAATGATGCACCATATCTTTTCTACATGGCGGAAACTTGAATTATGATATCTCGTCGATAATTGTGACTCCGCGATCTTTACTTACACATTCCTCGAAGATCTCGGTGAATTCTGGAGCCTTGGACTCATCTTTGTTTCTAAGGACCAGTGGAGACTCTGACAGACGCTTGTTACGGTCAATTTCTGTAAACATGGTCACATGTGAGTTTTTACCAATGAAATTTTAGTTATGAAAACATGCTCACACAAACCTTTCTACATCCGCCCTGTAGGTAAAACCTGTCTTGTGTGCTTATCAAGCTGTTGCTCTTAAGTAAATTGTGTTTTTAATTAAGGGCTTTTTTCTAAAACAAATCTTCCTATTTTATTGAATTAAATAAGATAATCAACACTTTTACTTTATTTCAGTTTTTTCTTATAAAGTCTGAACACCTCTTCTTTATTTAAGATGTTTCTTATGAAGTCAACTAAAGATAAAAACTACATATTTTACCATGTAATTTGAAAATTGATTACAATTTAAAACTTTTCAGGTACAACATATGACCATACCTGTGACTTCCAGAGGGATTTCACTGGTAGCTACTCCGGCCTCGTTAGTGGCAATACAGGTGTAAACACCGGAGTCAATTGTCTCGGTGTCCTTGATCTCAAAGCAGTAGGTGTCCTCGTATTTCTCGAAGTCATACAAATCTTTGTCTTCAAGAAGTTTGTCCTTCTTCCAGGCAACTATATAAAACAGCAGTGATATATTTAACACTATTGTCAGTTTGAGGAATATTTCTCAGCAATAAATTTCGCTTATAACAGTTAAAATCAAATTTCGAAATATGAATTTCATCTTTAATTAAATAATTAAATGATGAGTGATTTATTCAGTTTATGACTTTACCTGTTGGTTTCGGCATTCCGACAACCTTGACCAGGAATTGAGCACGTTCATGTTCCCTAGCAACGACCTTCTCTGGTACCTTGATGAACTCAGGGGGAGATAACTTCTCATCCTTAGGCTCTGCAATGTGAAATATGTTGACATGTAAAATTGCTTTTCATAACTACACATTGCAAATTTCATTTCTAGAAATAATTATCTATACATCTTACATATTGATTAAGAAAAAAATAGTCTAAAATAATAACTCCTTGTTAAGTATTTTTACAGGTAATAATATAACTTCACGAACAACAAAACACAAACAAGAGGATATCAAGCTTTATGTTATTATCATAGGAGTATTTTGTAGGATAATGTAGTGATTAAAAATATTTACAAACTTGATGACAGTTGGTAAAGTTACAACTACCGATGATAGTGAACAAGCCTGTGTCTGTCACACAGATAAAATCTTATCAATGCCCCATTTCACAGCACATACAAATGGTCTAACTGCTCCTACCTGCTGAAAGTCGTTTCTTTTCAACTTTTCATACAGGATAAATGGCTTAATTTCCAGACAGTAGAAAACAGTATATACCTGCAGTGTCCACTGGAGTTGTAACTGAAATATCTACAGTTTCATTTGACTCTGTGAGACTGGATTATACCATTCTAAATAACAGGTGAGATACCTGGTCCAGTACAGGTAAAGCCTATATATAGCTAATGTTTGGGTATCTACCTGACCACCCCTCTCCATGTATATATATATATAGCACCTGGAATACCTGTCTATCACAGATAAGTTGTGTCAGCTCGCCACTGTTACATAAGGTACATATTGACAAAGTGATGCCTTTGCCAGCAGGGGGCAGTGATTATCAGGTAAAAAATATACAGGTAAGTGTATTGTGTACCCTGAGGAGAGAAGTGTGACCCCAGGCTACAGACTTACTCCCAGTTCACAGATCCTCCTGAACATCAATACAATCAGCATCACTAGCACTTCACCATTACCGCATTATTCAGTAAAGAAAAGGGGAGGGGGAGATAAGGGGCACCGGGGGAAGGTGGAGATAAGGGGCACCAAGAATGGTTTTCTACTATTAGTTTCATATTTTGTAAATTTTTGTTTCTTTCCCAAATTCTCTTCACATTTGGGAGGATGAAGGGTTAAGAGGGAGGCATCCAAGGGTTGTTTTCTTTTTAAAGCCTCCCTGACATGATATGACCCCTGACCTCATTCTAGAGTTCTAAAACACTGTGGTTGTCAACAACAGGAGACCACTACTAAGTATAGCTTCCTCGGCACCTCATGGCCAGAAATGTGGCAATTTTCCGTAAGTCATTCACACATGCACATAAATGTGAATTTACATATTTATCTTTTTCCTGCTTTGTACTTCGTCTTTGCATTGCTTGCTTACCTTCAACGAAGAGTTCTGCTTTACATTTGGCTGTGCCCGCCTCGTTCTTGGCTTCGGCAGTGTATGTCCCATCATGCTCTGGCAGAACGTCAACGATGAGAAGTGACGACTCACAGTCTTCGCCATATTGGATTGTAAATCGGTTGTCGGTCTTTGTGATTTCTTTGTCGTTTTTATACCACAGGATCTCTGGTGTGGGTTTACCAGTTGCACGACAAGTGAATGTTGCTTTTTCTCCGACAGTTGTCTCAACCGTCTGTATTTCAACCACAAATTTAGGTGCTTCAAGCTCCTTCACCTCTTCAACTGGTTTAGCTTTAAAAGAAAATGTAAAAACTTAAATTTCTAAATTCTATACTTTAAGCTGAAAATTAAACATTGACATGTCGAAGCACAATATATCAAAGACTTTTCATCAAGAAAAGACAATTCTTTTTAATAAAGCACATTTATTGATGATGTCATCAGAAACAGTGTTCTATATTTAATAGGAAAACAGTGATTGATGACTTCATAAATAATAACAGGAATGTTCATCATTAAGAGTTACCTTGAATTCATAACCATGAAAATATAATGAAATTGCATGTACCAAAGGCAACCAAAATTATGAATAGAATGAGATAGTTTTTACACAATTTACCTGTAACTTGAAGTTCAGCTGTACAGGTGACTTTGCCGAATTTGTTTTCTGCCTCAACGGCATACTTCCCAGCATCCTCGGGTGTGATGTCATAAACCTCGAGGTGGTGAAGTTTTTCGTCATCGAACACCATGTATTTACCCTCCTCTGTGAGCTCGTGGCCGTTACACAGCCAGTGCAGGTCGGGTTTGGGCTCGCCGATCACTTCACAGTTAAAGTCAACTGTTTCACCTTCGGTAATCTGTGGAAGAAAATCAAATTGCGATGTTGCTAATTTGAAGAGTAAGATTTGAACATCATCTCAGTACTATACAGGGGTATACATGCAATTTTAAGTAAATCTTGGTAAAAACATTTTTAATGTTTTTGTACTGTATCACTTAAAATATTTGCTGTTTAATTACATTTTTTGTGGCTTTTGTTTTGGCAGTGCGACTAACAAATAAAATGTAAGTATTGTAAATAATAACAGTTACTTACCAATTTTTTTCATACTGGCAGATGTATGTACCACAAAACTCTGCTTCAATAAATAGCTTGTAAATTCGAAAAAAATATAATTATACGAATATTGCATAGGACCAAAGGCATGTGAAACTTCATAAACTAGTCACTATCTGGGTATTTGGTTTTTAATTCATACTATCTTAACTACAAAGGTCCAACTTTAATTAATCACTTACCGTCTGTGTTTTGATCTTGAGGACAAACTCAGGGGCGTGTCCTTTCTCAGGTTTGATAACAGCGGTCTCCTCCACTGTTTCCACTTTCTTGGTTCCTATACAATACAAAATACAAAGCTACATACAGAATCAGTTACAACTGTTGTACATGTCTGGTCCCTTCCTAACAAACTGTAGATCAATAAATATTGATTAACTGTTAAAAAAAAAAAAAATGGTAATCAAATACTGTATATTTCTCGCTTTGCCATTGAAATCCATGTTAATTTCATCCTTGGCATATATTTACTATATATATATAATATTGTTTACTAGTATTTGCTCTCTTGGTGAATTCATGCATTCTCATTACAAAGAGCGAAAAAGGCGAAACTGCGACAAAAATGTCCAGGTATACAAAGTTAAAGTTTGTTTCCAATACAGGAGTCAATAGAGCTCCTCTACACTGCAGACTCAAAAATTAAACAATTGCATAATATAAAGTTAAAGTTCATTGTTATTTAAATGTGCCCTATAATTATAATAAAGTTCTTCATTCTGCCAAAGTATTTTTCATTCTGAAAATGCAGTATTGCAAAATCCCATGCTGAAGGTTTGAAAATCATCATGCTTTTTAAGGTCTTTATACCTATAAAGTTAACATAAAACCAAACTTTTCCTAAATTTTGTGAACTAAAAGGACCTGTCCAGAATAGAAAAACTGAAAATAGAGACATCATAGAATAAACTAGAATAAAAGTTCTTAAATCAAGACAGAAGATTATAATATCTAAAGAGAGTTTTCTGGACAGTGGATTTTTCAGTAATAAGAAATAAATTTGGTGTTGCCTTTTTATGAAAGGGAACAGGCAGCTAGGATCTGAGAACTTACAGAAAGATATATCACACCTGTCTTACACTCAGACTCTTTAGAATTCTATTTTTACAGTCCATCCTTTCCAGACTCAACTTCTACCAACTGGTCAAGCTCTGACTGTAAGTGTTTCTGACTCAAGTTTACTTTTTATCCAAACAGATCACAACTGTCCAGTTGAAGGTCCAGTCACTGACCACTTAATCTGACCGATGCTGTATACATGTAGAACCACTTATCTAGTACCAACCAGGGCCGTGCCCTACAAACGACCTTGAATGTACAATGTATGTCAAAACATCATACCTGAAACGTCAATTTGTTTTGTTTTCCACATTACTTCAATTATTGATTTTACTAAATATGAATGATTCTGATAATTTCAAAAAGTCAAATAATTTATTCAGAGTTCTGCTAATCACATTTTTTTGATCATAAACATTTTTGCGGTTATCCCTCAAATGACTTCCTTGCCAGGTTATGAATTTGCGAAATGATGAAAAGTAAATACATCGTTTATTCAAATGTATCTAAATAAATATTTGTGAGCTATTTATATTATTATTTCACCAAATTAGTTGCTTTAACCATAAACCAACCGATGATAATATGATTACAATAAATCTTCAGGGGAAGAAAATCTCCAGGGTACAAGGTATGGGACAGAGTTGGTTTGTATGATGTAGCTAAATATATACAGTACATGTGTTGTACATATGTAAGGAGATTTGTGAGATAAGTCCACATTAGTTTAATGTGTGATCTGTCTGTCTAAGGCCTAATTAACATGTAGCCATTATGGTGTATAAAAATCCCAGCCATTCTCTCCCCAGACTCCCCCTTCAGACTCCCCCTCAGCCTCTCCCCCTCCAGACTCCCCCTCAGCCTCTCCCATCAACAAAGTAATGGATTTCACACCCAATTGACAATTCCCACACATGAACTTAATAAATTTCATTTTTTCCCATGTGTTACATTTGTACCTACACAGGGGCCTGTAATAATAGCTTAGATATATACATGTAATTCTCACAATAAAGACGTGTTTGTTTATATGTATTAACCAAGCTGCTTTTATTTACTATTAAACGTTTGCTGTAGAAAAAAAGGATGCTGCACAGTTTTTTTTAAATGTGTGAATTTGAATCAAAACTTTTGACGACAATATTTTTTTTTAATATAAATCTAGATAAGGCTTGCCTAATGTGTCAAGTCATACTATACTGTCTACTTTCACTTTACCTTTATAATACACTACATACCTGTTATAATCTGCTTAACTTTAAATCCAGTGTAAACCTTAAGCCAACTATTCATCTCTGAAAGTGTACTGTCTGTTTTTCTATATTTGTTTTTATAATCCTTTCCCTTTACCCGAGATATTGACTTTGAGCCTTGTTAGGCCAATACAATGGAAATATTACAGGTTTGTAAATGTTGTGCAAAATTAAATATTTGTTTTGAAGGGAAAAAAAATGAAGAGTTTTGTTTTTATTGGTCAGTCTTTTTAGGACAGAGCTGGTAAATATGATATTTTTTGAAGGAAATTTATGTAAATAAGTTTCCTAAAACTGACCAGACTGGACATTCAATGGCCACATACCATGATATATGATCAGTTTCGGATTAGCTAATTATCCTTGTTTTATCCGACTGTAAGTATACTGACAACAGATAAGATCTAGCCAACATGTTTGAACAGCCCTGTCTGTCTACAGTGGAGGGAGGGGTGTTAATGTCTACTGGCCCTGTGGGGGAGCAATATCTGTGTAGTAGTCTGGGGGAGGAAGATTCCCTCGGCCCATCTACTAGGAGGGAGGGAGAAGGTAGATTCCATCTACTGTGGGTTGGGGGAGGGAGGAGTATGAGATAGAGGCAGGGAGGTGAAGTGAGACAGAGAAAAGGAAGAGGGGGTGGGGACAGAGGTGATACTGAGGGTGAAAGTGAGGGAGAGGAGTGGAAGGATGTATGAGGTAGAATGATAAAGGGCAACAGTAATCACAAAATACTTCTAAGAAACACATCTTAATAAAAGGTGTTTTTTTCAATTTCGATTTTGGTAATTGTGCCACGATTTCTTCTTAATATATCTTGAGATAATTTAAACCAGTACACAGAATAAAAAAGACTGACCTACAATAATTTCCCTAATAGTTTTATGGGGCAGTTACACCTCTATTTAAACCTGTCTACACATTGTGGATCTATAAAAACTGTTTACACATATATATGATGATATAGTAGTAAAATGGAGCACCATAAAACTGTCCTAAATAAACAGAGCAGTATAGCTCTATATGGTTACCTACTGAGGGCCATCACAGCCATACAGCACATAGCAGGCCTGTGTTTATTTTCACATGTAAATAAACAGACATTTATATTAACTTTAGGGGTCCCCCTCCCATTTCAACTTTGATCCTATGTCTCAACCTTCAAATTTTAGTAGAAAATATACTTTGAACTTCCTTCTCAAGTTTTAAGTTTCTATTTAAATAGACTTTGGTCTTACCTCCCAGCCACTTTTATTTTCTGTTAAAACATGACTTTGATCACCTGTACAAAAATCTCTAACATCAATTTCCAATAAATTATAGAGTGTAACCATATCTTTTAAAGTTTTATCTATTTTCGTTCAATTTTTAACACTCTAGAATCCCCTGGTTTTATCTTAACAGTTAATTGATCAATTCTGTGATAAGGATCTGAATGTCAAAAGCAAACGGTATACTTTTCCTTTGGATTTTAAAAGAAATTAAAGCTCCCTTCATTAACAAGATACAGCAGACTAATAACTGAAGGTAGGTAGATTTTAGAGAATAATATTTCAAACAGCAATTTCAAAAGAATACTCCAAACTTGACAAAAACAGAAATTCAAGCTGGACCAACCCATACCAAAAACTTGCACTTAAAAATCAAAATGTGCAAAAACTTTGACACAAATTTACAATGTTTTTGGACAATTTTCGTTTGAATTCATTAAGACTTACCATAGTTGATATATCCAAGAACTATATCCTCAATCTTAGCATTGCTGACGATAGTTATATAAGTTCTACCCCTCCTCATGGTAGCGTTTCACACAAATATAGTCCATGTATGAATAAATAACTGCGGAATGATTCTCTCGCAGCGTTTACACACTCAATCAGTTATAATATACAAACACTGGAATGTGGCGTCATCAAACTGATGCAATATTTTCCGTTATAAAACTGAATCCTTCATCATTTTGATCTTGTTGAAGTCATCCCTATGCACACTTTCATATTTTACATGCATTTCACAAACTCAGACTTGGCTAGATTTCAAATAATAACACAACTTTTTGTCTTGAATAGTAACCCTTAAAAACTCGCATCAATTTTCATTTATCACTGAAGTCACTAACTGACACATAATTGTCTTTCTTCACATGTAACAATCTATTTACAATACTGCTGTTAAAATTGTGCACAAAAAATAATTATTTCTTTTGAGAAACAAATTCAGCCAATTACACTCCATTTAGATCTTCAAGCGTTCCATTTCAACACTCCACTGACGAAATCAACATCCAATCAAATCAATTTCCAAAATTTGCATTTCACAAATTTATATTCTCTGCTTTCCACTAGTATGATAGAGAGACACACTGTTTCTTGATAAAATCCAACGCGTTACAACTTTGATGGAAAAAACAAACAAACTTTACGATCAATAAAGGTAATTTACTATCTCCCGGGGTCACGACCTCGTCTTTAAACCTTCCGATCCCTTGTAGACACAGTAAGATACTGACATCATTATTTACTATACCAATACCATAGAATCTAACTCATGTGGCAACAATATTTTTGCATCATTTCTAACAAGTCCTCATGCCAACTCTTAAACATCTGGCCAGAAATTCGTCTTTGAGTTAAAAAACATCTACTGAAAATTCATTATTTAGGTTGTTTTTGCCAATGCCTAAATACTTCTGGGCAGAACAACAGAACACAATCCATTCTGATCGGTAAAAGTTGCTGGAATGTCAATCTGGATGAAGAAGCTGAAAGTTGGAGGTCAAACTAATGGCCACAATTTAACTACACCAAAAACATTGTAGGCAATACAAAGTTCCAAATAGACAGACACAGTGATTTATCGTAAACTCTGGTCAGGTATTCCCCGCCATGGCCATCCAAAAACGCACTGACAACTCGCCCTGATAAGCTCGGATCAAATCAATCGTCCCTCCCTGAAATCTTTTATTGTA